CCTATCCATCACCTTTGGACAGGCCGTAAACCACAGACTCTTTCCAGGCTCTCAGGAGTTATCCCATCTTCCAGATTCCTGCCCACTCCAACTCCCCAGCCTTGTTGAAGTTCTCTGTTGCCTCTTGAATACACATGAATCCTTATACTGTTTTTAAGAAAAAAAAAAAAATGATTCTCCTTTCTCTTTGTCCAAGAGTCCTTCCCCTCACACCCAAAGAGAAAGAAGCTCTCTTCTCTCTCTGTGATGGGGACAGTATTTCTTCTAGCATCCTGCAGTCTTCCCAGCCCTGCTGCTCGTGGTAGAAATGCTGCCACAGTCCAATATCGAGGAGTCCTCCTTGACTACCCTTTACAACTCGTATTCAGCTCTGCCCCAAAATGCTTATGTCCACTTCTGTGAGATGGTAAATGTTTAACAACAGACTTCGTGAAAGGGAAAAACCAAAAACTGTTCTGTAGTGCTTGCCAATTTCTGTAGTGCGATAGCCCCCAACATGGCCATTTTCAAGCTACCAACAGTTAAACAACCAGATTGCAAAATTCCTGAAATTTAACAATTGCTTTTCGGCTCCAGTCCAAGCCTGCTGCTGGACACCTCTGAGTTACATTCCTAATTTGCACACTTCCACCTCCACCACCAGTCCCTGTGCCAGCCAGCATCATCGCTTTGGGGACCACTCCTCTGGCTTTCATTTTTCAGCCACAGCAATTCTTAGGAAAGATCAAATCACATCACTTCTCTGCTTCTTCCTGAACACAGGTGCATGGCTCCCACTCTCCCTCCTTCAAGTCTCTGCTCAATGTCACTTTATGAAAGGCACGTGGTGTAAACTACCCTGTAGAAAATATCATTTCTTTTCTCCCAGCATTCCAATTTCTCTAATCCTAATTAATTTTTAGCCCTTATTTCCATAAGTATTATACTGAATACAGGTAACCCTCACTTTTCATGGCAGTGCAAGATTGCAAAAATGACTGTGCAACCTGAAACCCAGGAAAGTAGTCTCCATATCCAATCAGGAAAACAATGATCATTCTGTGACCTTTACCATTTTTTGTCAAAATGTTAGAAACTCACACTCCCAGTTAGAAATGCAGAGGACAACCAAAATATAGTGAAATAAATATTCATTTGTGTACTGCAATTCAAAGCATTAGAAACATTGAGAGTTCAAGTGTTGTTTCTTTGTGAAAATGTATCAAGAGTAGTTGGAAGAGTGCTTGCCCTTTTCTTGTATATTTCTGATATGGAATGATATGGTTTGTCTCCATGTTCCCACCCAAATGTCCTCTGGAATTATAATCTGTGTGTGCTGTGGGAGGAGCCTGGTAAGAGGTAATTGAATCATGGGGTCAGACTTCCCCCTTGCTGTTTTTGTGATAGTGAGTTCTCGTGAGATCTCAGTGCGTTCTCACGAGATCTGGTTTTTTAAAGTGTGTGGCATTTTCCCCTTCACTCTCTCTCTGTCTCTCTCCTGCCACCATGTGGAGAAACTCCCTGCTTCCTTTTCTCCTTCCACCATGATTGTAAGTTTCCTGAGGCCTCCCAGTCATGCTTCCAGTTAAGCGTGTGGAACTGTGAGTCCATGAAACATTGAAGTTGAAAGTGACAATTTACAGTATCTGCTGGAAGAAACTTCTAAGCAGCAAAGCATTCCAAAAGTGAGCTGGCTGCTTCTAACAGCCTAATTCGTATATGTAAGCACAGAAATGACTTGAAACTCGAACTTATATTTAAAAGGGAAGCAAAGCATACAAGTTTGGAAAATTTGCAGCCTGGCCATGTGGTAGAAAAGAAAAGCCCATTTTCAGGAGAGGAATTCAAGCAGGCTGTTAAAATAGCATAAGTAAAAAGAAGCCTAATGCTAATATCCAAAACAATGGGAAAAGGCTTCAAAGGCATTTCAGAGACCCTCTCATTACAGGCACAGGGGCCTAGAATGGAACAATGGTTTTTAGGGCCTTGCCTAGGACCCACTGCTCTGTGCAGCCTTGGGACATGGCTCACTGCATCCTATTCACTCCAGCTCCAGCCTTGGCTCAAAGGGGCTCCAGTATATCTTGGGCTGTGGCTTCAGAGGGTGCCAGCCATGAGCCCTGGTGGCTCCATGTGGTGTTAAGTCTGCAGGTATGCAGAGTACTAGAGTTGAGGCTTGGGAACCTCTGCCTAGATATGTCAGAGAATATATGGAAAAGCCTAGATATCCAGGCAAGAGCCTGCTACAGGAGTGATTGTATTTTGCAATGTTATAAGGACATAATATTTGAAAGTGGGCAGGAGAAAATGTTGGAGGTAGCACCTGGTGGGAGGTGACTGGGTCTTTGGGTCACATTTCCCTCTTGGTTTTGTTCTCATGATACTGAGTGAGTTCTTATGATATCTGTTTGTTTAAAAGTGTGTGGCACCTCCTCACTCTCTCTTTCCCTCCTACTCTAGCCATATACCATATGCCCACTTCCCCTTCACCTTCTGCCATTTTTGTAAGTTTCCTGAGACCTCCAAGAAGCTGATACCAGCATTATGCTTCCTGTAAAGCCTCTGGAACCATGAGCCAATTAAACCTCTTTTCTTTATCAATTATCCAGTCTCAGGTATTTTATTATAATAATTATAGCAAGAATGGATTAATTCATCAACCTATTTATTTTTTAAACAACTTAGCACTAATTACATTTTTTCAAAATCCTCTCTTTTGTCACTTTTCTCAGATACCTGTTGTTACTTCATGCCTACATATTCTTGTTTCATACATGACTGATGTTGTTTTATGGATTTACATTCCTTTTGTTATCTCTATACGGTTACTAAATATGCTAATGTTAAAAAACTCTTCATATTATTTTCTGAGATATTAGTCTCATTGCTGTTTTTGTTTTTGAGTTATTGTTCTTGAATGTATCATTTATCTTTCATGATGCCACTCTTGCCCACTTGTTTAGTGATTACTCCTTTCACTGTCATCTTTCCAGGAATAATACCCTGAGTGATCATGTGTTGTCAGCACTTTGTGGAACATGGCACCTATTCCAACATTGCTGTGGGGGCTGTTCCTAATTGAGATTATGGCTTCTTCTCTGCTTCCTTCCTGAGAGATGTCTCTCCCTTCTTGTGAGAGGTGTCATAGTACAACCATTAACAGTGAAGGCCATGGAGTATGACAACCTGTGTTCTGATTCTAAAAGCTGGGTGATGTTGAGCAAATTTATTATTGCCTATGTGCCTCAAGTTTCCTCACCGGTAAAAGAAAGTTAATGGTAGTGCTAATCTCATGGGGTCAGAGTAAGGAATTAATGAGGTAACTGGCATGAAATGCTTATTGCAGTAACTGGAGCACAGGACATCTGCAATAAACAATAGCTGCTACTACTCTTCATGTCATATAGAGACTAGTTTCTTGTTTTAAAGTGTAATTTGACATCGATTAACATGATTTTATTACTTTTATATTCACTTCTGTGGGTGTGGAACAGGAGGTGATGATTTCACCCTCTCCGCATCTGCCACATTGAAAAAGAAATTTGGATGGAAATGTAATGACGTTGAAATTTTCATTTGACAATTACTCGTGATGGATGAAGGACCGTAAACCCAGCCTGGGAAAGAGAGGTTTCCAGACAGGTCTTTCTTAGTCATAGATGAAGGAGGAGAAACCATTTCTCCTAACAAGGTAATTTTTCTAAAGCACAAGCATATCAGGGAAGCAGTGAGCTCTTCCTGTACACAAATATAATTACAGCCACAATATTTTGGTTACAATTAAATATGAATCAAGCCTTGTGTATGGTTTATATTACTCTTACCATATCACTACAAGGTGCATGTTATAACATACATATACACATATTTAAATTAGGGCTTAGAGAAGTCAAGTGTCTTGTTGGAAGTCACACAGCTGGAGATTGTAAGAAAAGATCTACAGATGGACAAGAAGCAGGGTGAAGAGGATCCAGAGGGAGCAATTGATATCAGAGTGGCAGGGGTAGTCCAAGTACACTGTATAAGCTGGGTCCCAGAAGTCCTGGGAAGCTGGGAGAAGGCCACTGGTGGGAAACTCAGCATGCAGTAGGAATCCATATAAAAGCAATATTTTGAGTTCCTCTCTTCACCTGGCACCATGAGTATCAATAATGACCTACTGAGTCTCAGGCATGTATAGTCATTACCTCCTTCGAAGTCCACTAAAACATGGCAGTGAGACTTATTATCCCAAGGTTAGAAGGCAAAACTGAACCTAGGAAGGCCCAGTAACTTCACCAACTCCTTAGCACACCCTCTTAGTCAGGGTATTTATTCTCCCGCCCTCCTCAGTTCCCATCTGAACACAGTGATGAATGAAATAGGTGTTCTGTGTACAGAGCAAAGAGTATTGAAATTGATGTGACTGCCCCAGGAATCTGCCCTCCATATTCTCCCCCATAATAAGCCTATACCCTCTCCATAACCCATAATCCCCACCTGACCCCACAAAACAGATCCTTATTACCCTAAGCCCACTTCCTCTCCTGGAAGAAGTCAGGAAGTAATTCCTTCTTCTGGGTGCAGGCACATGAAAGCGCTAAGTTCCACATGAAACTAAACTGGGGCAAAGTTTTGCCAGTTATATTGATAAACGTTTGGAGTAGGGAACCATTTCAAGAGCAGACCTGATTCCTCTCCAACACTGAGCAGGTCCTGTGATCCCTCCTCCTGTCCCCAAATGAGTAGCATGTGGTTGAGGCTGGTGCAGAGTGAGACCACAAGCCAACCACATCCTGGGGTCTTGAGATGGAGAGTTTAGGTAACATTTCATAACCACAGGTCCTTCTTAGCTGAAGAGCACCAAATGGCAAATCACCAAGAAGACATAAAGATGGGGTGAGGAGCCATGTGGAAGGAAATCAGACCCCAAGTGGGAAGGAGGCATTATCTCTGCTAAGCCTGTCTGATTCTCCTGAAATGGAGCGTGAATAACTGCTTGCATTGTAGCTGCTTGCTGTGCCTTTTTTCTATTTCACAACCGAGGAGCAGGTTACTGCCTCACTCCATCACAGCCACTTCCTCTTGAACCAAGGGAGGCAAGGCTTGTCTTCTCTCCTCAGAGGCGAGTCTGCGATCTTCCCAGTACAGAAGTTTGGACAGAGCAGACTCCTAAGTTCTCCAGAATGCCCATCCCAGCCTCCTGGTCCCACCTTCCTGGTCCTTTCCTGCTGATGAATCTACTGTTGGGGGGACTACCAGGTGAGCATTGCTTTGGGTTAAAGTCCTTTTTCCCTGCCCATTGAGCCATGGCCTGCCCCTGGACTTCCAGGGATTCCAGACAATGACAAGTGCTGCCAAGAAAGGCCAAGGATTAGGCCTTGACTGAGAGCAGAAAATCAGGGGGCTGAGCACTTTCTCTGTGGATCTGCAGCTGGCTACTAGAGGCATTGAACCACAGGATGATTCAACCACCCCTACAACAATTACTTACATTTTGATATTTTAATTGAAAAAGCAGAGAAGAATCATTATTTAAATCCTTACCAGTGCTGAGGCCCTAGGGCCAAGCAACATTCCCAAGGCCACAGACTGAGCTCAGAGACACCCTAACAGGGTTATGTGGCTCCAAGCCCAGCCCTCTCTCTTCATCACTGTGAGGAGGTGAAGTCTGTAATGGTGCTCACTTGAGATGGCCAGTGGTGCAGTGTGTCCTGGGAATGTTCAGCCACGGTTCTACCTAAGGGTGCTCCTCACTGTGTCCTCTGTTCCCCCATGCTCCTCCTTCCCCTGTGACCAGATTCTTACCACCCATTTCTCTGTGACCTCTTCCTCTTTAAGAAGTTCCACATTTGCTGCTTACCAGGTCCTATATTCCTTTCCTAGGGCTTCCATGATAAAGACCTGCCTGCTGGGCAGCTAAAACTACAGACATTTACTTCCTTGTAGTTAGGGAGGCTGAAGTCCAAGATCAAGGTGTCAGCAGGGTTAGTTTCTACTGAGGTCTCTCTCCTTGGATTGTAGAGGGCTATTTTCTCTCTGTGTCTTAACATATGATCTTACTGTGTGTGTGTGTCTGTGTCCTCATCTCCTCTTCTTTTGAGAATATCAGTCATGTTGGATTAAGGCCCACCCCAATGACCTCATTTAACTAAATTCCCTCTTAAAGACTCTGTCTCCCAAACTGTAACATTCAGAGGTGCTGGGGATTAGAGCTTCAACACGTGCATTTTGAGGAACACATTCAGCCCATAACAGGTACTACAACCTCCCTTGGTTCTCTTAACTTTCCCATGGATAATTTCTTTCCCCTTCCCCAAGACAGACAGGATTGGAGGCCATTTCCTTGTGCAGCCTGGGAGAGCCCTGCTCACTGCATCCAGGCAAGTTGCGTGTCCTGATCCCTTCTCAGGCCATGGAGCCGACCCCAGAACCAGAGGGCTGGGCACAGCAGCCTCTCAGTTCCCCACTGGGCCCTGCTGTGATGTCACCTAACAGGCCCTAGAGGGCAGGGGTCTCATTTTTCAAATTATTTTTCTCACATGTACACTGTACACAAATGATAGCAGTAAGAGTTTAACAATTGAGCTCTTCCAACCATGTAGACACAGTTATTAGCATTTTGCCCGTTTTAACTCCACTAATCCTCACAACATCCCTGTGTGAAAGCAACAACTATTATTCCCTATTTGCAAACAAGGAGTCAAGGAGAGGGAAGAACTTCTCCATTCATTGTCTTCTACCTCAGTCAGTGGAGCAGCTCGAATTCAAGTCCAGGTCAACCAGCTCCAGAGTTCATTCTTTTAGTCATGTTATGCTACTAGCAGAAATATTAGAAAATGCGGGGAAGCAAACGTAGAATTAATTATTGCCTACCACACTATTTAGCAACAACCAGAGTTACAATTGTGATGTATGTACTTCTAAGTTTGTTAATAATGTGTTGGATGCTTTCTATGGGCCAAATATTTTCCTGAGATTTTAACGTGTGTTGTAATTTTATTTAACACACAAAACAAACTTATATACTATCACAATAGGTCACACTTTGATATATATTTGTGAATGTTTATCTATATGTGTGTTTATGCATATGTATATATATGTATATATATTTGCAAATGTGTGTGTATATATGTGTGTATACATATGTATATGCATGTGTGCATATAAGTAAGTGTACAGGCACACACAGGAGATTTCATTTGTTATCATTGTTTCTCCCAGTTGCTAATGTCAATGAAATTTTTAATAAAATATTTTATTTTTACTTGAGAAAACTGTATATACTTATCATGTATATTATATTAATGAAATATGTGTACATTTCAGAATGACTAATTTGAGATAATTAATATATGGACTACCTTGTATATATGTCATTTTTGTGGTGAGATCTCTTAAAATCTGCTCTCAACAATTTTTGAGAATACAAATCGTGTTAGGAACTCAAGACTCCATATTGTACAAAATTGTGGAACTAATTCCTCCTAACTAAACTGAAATTTTGTATCCTTTGACCAATATCTCCCAAAATGCACCCCCTGCCTAGTGCCTGGTAACCACTATTCTACTCTCTACTTCTGTGAGTTCAACATTTTAAAATTCTACATATGAGTGGCATTATGCAGTATTTGTTTTTCTGTGCCTGGCTTATTGTACACAGCATAACATCTTCCAGGATCATTTATGTTGTTGGAAATGACAGAATTTCCTTCTCTGGTCAGGCTGATTAGAATTCCATTGTGTATATACCACATTTTCTTTTTCCATTTATCTGCTGATGGACACCTAGGTTGAGTCAATATCCTGGTTATTATAAATAATGCTGCAATGGACATGGGAGTGCAGACATCTCTGTGACATGTTGATGTCATTTCCTTTGGATACATGCCCAGTGGTGAGATTGCCAGATCATATGATAGTTCTATTTTTAATTATTTGAGGAGCCTCCATCCTGTTTTCGCTAATGGCTCTACTAAATTACATTCCTGCTAACCATATGCAAGAATCCCCTTTTCTCCACATCCTCTCCAAAACTAGTTATCATCTTTTTAATAATAGCTATTCTAACAAGTGTGAGATGCTAGCTTACTGTGGTTTTAATTTGCATTTATCAGATGAATAGTAAGTTTGAGTATTTTTACAGGCCTGCTGGTCATTTTAGTTTATTCTTTTGAGAAATGGCTCTTAAGATCTTTGGCCCATGTTTTAGTTGGATTATTTTCTTAATATTGAGTTGTTTCACTTCCTTACATATTTTGTATATTGACTTTTCATCAGATGTATGGCTATCAAATACCTTCTTCCATTCTGCTGGTTGTCTTTTCACTCTGTTGATTGTTTCCTCGGCTGTGTAGAAGCTTTTCAGTTTGTTGTAATTTGTTCATTTGTAATTTGCCATTTGTCTATTTTTCTGTTGTTGTTGCCTGTGCTTTGGGATTCATATCTGAAAATTCATTGCCCATACCAGTGTCATGGCACTTTTCTTCTAGTACTTTAACAGTTTCAGATCTTACATACTTTAATACGTTTTGAGTTGATTTTTGTATGTCATGTGAGACGAAGGTCTAATTCATTCCTCTACACATGGATATCCAGGTTTCCCAATGCTACTTTTTGAAGAGACTGACCTTCCTCATTGTGTCTTCTTGACATTTTTGTCAAAAGTTAAATGAGTGTAAATGTGTGAGTTTATTTCTGGGCTCTCTGGTCTGATCCGTTGGTCTATGTGTCTATTTTTATGCCAGTGCCATGCTGTTTTCATTACTATGGCACTGTAGTCAATTTTGAAATCTGGCAGTGTGATGCCTCCAGTCTTTTTGCTCAGGATTGCCTTTTCTAGTCACAATTTTCTATGACTAATGTGAACTTGAGGATTGTTTTGTCCATTTCTGAGGAAAATGTCATTAAAATTTTACTAATAATGAATTGAATCTGTAGATCTCTCTGGGTAGTATGTACACTTTTAACAAAAGCAATTATCTAATCCACAAGCATGAATATCTTTCCATTATTTGTCTTCTATTTATTTTTCATCAGGGTTTTACAGTTTTTTGTGTGGAGTTCTTTCATGTCCTTCATTAAATTTGTTTCTCGCTATTTTAGCTTTGTTGATAGTAATCATGAATGAGATTGTCTTACTGATTTCTTTTTCCAATAGTGTCATAGTAATGACAGTAATATACATGATAAATAGGTAAATAAAATAGTAAATTAGTCAGTCATGAGTGAAAATAAATAAGGTATGTGTATATAACTTTTTTTACCTTAGAGAAGTTTTCATATATTCCTATTATTGATGTTTTTGTCTGAAAAAGATGTCCACATTTGTCAAATGCCGTTTTGCATCAAATGAGATAATCATGTGTTTCTTCTCTTTCTTCTATAAATATGATGTACTACATTGTTTGTCATTTGTATATTGAAACATTCTTGTATTCCAGGAATAAATACCACTTGCTCATTGTATATATTCCTTCTATTATGCTGTTGAACTCAGCTAGTATTTGGTTGAGGATTATTGCATCAACAAACCCAGTAATAATAATGCCAGCTGGTAACAGAAAGGTGTGCAGCTCTACCTGGCAGCGATCTTATTTTTGTATTTTCATGGAAGTTTAGATTCCAATGAGCTCCATTTCAGATAAGCAGAGCATGGCTTTGGGACAATTTATGGTTAATAATTACAACAGGAGAGTATGCTCCTCAGATCTGGACTCTAAGCCAGGAGAGCCCAACAGATAACCAGAAATTTGTTGTTGTAATGGAGTATAGCAAAGGCCGAGAGGGGCATTATATTTGCCTCAAAGGCCCTTGGGAAAATGTGTGGCCATCATGAGTGGTTTAGAGACTTCAAGAGGCATGAAAGACATTGCCAAAATCTCTACTTTTAGGTTGACCATTTGAAGACACAAACAGGAGTGGTTGTTGCTTTTAATTTATAAGTAAAATTTGTAAAGAAGAATATGTTGCCACTGGCACCCCAAAACAACTTAGAGATGCTTGATTATGTGTCATTAATATGTGTATCACTTGAATCTCCTTTGAAGAGGTTGTTATCAATTTATGTCATCCTGTGCCCTTGAAGAAACGTGGATGTCATTATCGATATTGGAACAGGATCTACACCTTAGGATACAGTCTTGGTCGCACTCCAAAAGGCAACACAAAGCTGTACATAGCACAGCATGGGAAAGCCATCAGGGTAAAAAGTCATCTTAAATTAAAGTAGCCAATCAAAGTAGCAAATCAGTAAGGCATGAACAGTCACAGGGCTTCTCCCAGGAACTTTCCACCCCAATTTAGAATGATTCTATCCTCATTGCCGTTAGTGTTGAAAATGGTAGAGTAAGTCCTGCTGGTTGAGTCTTAAAGCATCACTCTAACATGGCCATGAAAAGTTCTTGTAGAGAGGCATATGAAATGGAATGATTTATTCTATTCACAGGTCCTAGAGGGGGTGGGGCATGCCACACAGGAAGCCATATGGGTGGAGTTCCAGGGAATAGCCTCAACCAAGCAGAAGCAAGAGAGATGGGAAGCAATTGCCTTTACTGGGAGTCATGATGGAGGACACAAAGAAAAAGCACGATGGGTTTTACTAGAGTGTTTCAGTGTCACTAGGTCACAGCAGAGGAGGACAAGAAGAGGAATTGTGGCAGGGACCAGCACTGTCACACTGGTTACCTCATCTTGTGTTTAGGGTGCTCACAGCTTGTTTGTGGGATGTTGAGGCATCAGGAAAATATGATTTTTTTTTAATGTACACATAACTGGACACCTTTATTTCTTCATACAACTTTTAGTTGCCATGTAGCATCCTTTTATTTCCACCTGAAGCACTCCCTTTAGCATTTTTGTAGGTAAGGTTTAGTGGTAATGGACTCTTTTTGCTTTTGTTTATCTAAGAATATCTGAATTCCTCCCTCATGTTTGAAGAACACTTGTCTTCCCAGGTATAGAATTCATGGTTGACAGGTTTTTCCCACTTTCAGCATTTTAAACATATCATCCCGCTGTCTTCTGGCCTCCAGTGCTTCTGAAAAGAACTCAGTTGATAAATCTTATTGAGGGTTCCTTGTATATAAGAAATCACTTCTCTCTTGCTCTTTTCAGAATTCTCTCTTTGTCTTTGGTTTTTCAAGAGTTGGAATATGATATGTATTATTGTGGATCTCTGAGCCTGTCCTTGAGTTAAATTTGCATTTCCTCAGCATCTTAATTTCTAGATTTATGAGTTATATCAAGTTTGCAACCATTTTGGCCATTATGTCTTCAAATAATCTTCTGCTCCTTTCTCTCTTCCCTTTTCATTCCCCCCCGGGACTCTAATAAGGTTATTTTGATTCATTTGATTATGTCCCGCAATTCCCTTAGATTCTATTCTCTTTATTTCATTCCTTTTTTCATCCATACTTCAGTCTCAATAATTTCAATTATCCCATCTTCCAGTTTTCTGATTTTTTTCTACCAGCTCACACCTGTTGGGGAAATCCCTAGTGAACTGTATTTATTGTACTTTCAAATCCTAAGTTTCCATTTGATTTGTTTTATAATTTTTATTTCTTGATATTATTTTGTTAATGCATGTATAATCCTGTGGTTTTAGTTTTTTTATCCATTGTTTCCTTTACCACTTCAATGGCGTGATCTCGGTTCACCTCAACCTCCGCCTCCCAGGTTCAAGCAATTCTCTGGCCTCAGCCTCCCAAGTAGGGATTACAGGCATGCATCACCACGCCCGACTAATTTTGCATTTCATAGAAACGAGGGTTTCTCCATGTTGGACAGAATGGTCTCGAACTCCCGACCTCAGGTGCTCGGCCCACCTCCGCCTCCCGAAGTGCTGGATTACAGGCATCAGCCACTGTGCCCAAAACCACTTCAAACATTTTTAAGACAGTGGTTTTAACATCTGGATATAGCATCAGGGCGGACACCATATGTAAGAAAGGTCCTTACAAGAAGGAGGAAGGAGATTAATTCCTAGAGAAGGACATGTGAGGATGCAAGCAAGAGGTTAGAGTGATGGGAAGATGTAACTGCAAAAAGGAACATGGGCAGCCTCTAGAATTTGGAAAGGCAAAAAACAGAGCCTCCAGAAGACACATAGCTTTACTGACAACTTTTTAAAAAATTGCACATATGTGAAGCGTAAAACATGATGCTTTCATGTGCATGTATTTAGTGAAGCAATTGGAGACACCCAGCATCTCCTATAGTTACCCTGCACATGTGTGTATGTCAAGAGCACATAAAATATGCTTTTAACAAAAATACTGAATTCAACACAACATTTTTAATTGGAGGCCTCATATTGCACCTTCATTCTCTGGACTTCTTTATCAACCATCTGCAATTTGTATTTTTTGACCTACATCTCCCCATCACCTCCCCCAGTTTTATCCCTAGTCACCACTGTTTTATTCTCTACCATTGTGTATTTTTCTTTCATCATTACTCCTTGGTTGTAACACAGTAGCATTATTTTGGACTCCTGACCTCTGCAACTATAATATGATAAATTTCTTTTGTTTTATGACACTAAATTTTGGTAATTTGTCACATCAGCATTAGGAAATTAATGTAATCTGATTAAGCTCTGAGTGAGCAATCCCTAGGGGCTTAAAACATTGTTGTGTTTACATTTTAAGCTGAACGTTCAGTGTGGGTGAGGATTCTGCACGCTATGGTCATTCATGCATTCAGGCTGATGGAACAAGCAAACACCGTCAGAGTCTCCTGGGTCTCTGTGGAAGGCAGAGGTTAATCCATAGGTGCTCTTGCAGTTGAATATACAGCCCACAAATTATATCCATCACTTCTGCTCACTACTCAGTGGTCTAAAGAAGTCATATGGCCTTGTATGATCGATGCAATGGTCCAGAAAGTGCAACACTCCATGTGGCCAGAGAGTGGAGGATCATATATCTGCCAAGGCCTGACACTTCCAAGGAGGTCTCAGGAGCTCCACTCAGGTCCTCAATCCAAAGTGCTACCTTGAAATTGAACCTCTGTGCTTCCATGTCTTTACATGTAATACAGTCATATGTTACAGGCTTGTTGTGAGGGTTAAATAAGATAATATACAGAGTGTGCTGAGCTCAAGGCCTGCTCTTTGTGTGTACGCAGTCAATGAAAGTCATTGATAAACACTTGAGGAAACACAGAGGATCACAGAAGGATGAAAAAATGACGGCTTTGTGTTCCTTTTCAGGAGTGTTGGGTGAGGAGGAGCTGCAGGTGATTCAGCCTGAGAAGTCCGTGTCAGTCACAGCTGGAGAGTCGGCCACTCTGAACTGCACTGTGACCTCCCTGATCCCTGTGGGTCCCATCCAGTGGTTCAGAGGAGTTGGACCAGGCCGGGAATTAATCTACAGTCAGAAGGAAGGCCACTTTCCCCGGGTAACAATTGTTTCAGACCCCACAAAGAGAAACAACATGGACTTTTCCATCCACATCAGTAACATCACCCCAGCAGATGCCGGCACCTACTACTGTGTGAAGTTCCGGAAAGGGAGCCCCGATGTGGAGTTGAAGTCTGGAGCAGGCACTGAGCTGTCTGTGCGTGGTGAGTACAGTGCGGGCCTCATTCGTCCCCTGGTGTGACAATAAGTCAATAATTACATTATCCATTCTTAGAGCAATAAGCAGGTGTGGTGGTTGGTGCTCATTTTCATGATCTGATGTCACCCCTTCTCCGGATCACATGAGTTGAGGCTTGGAGATGTCATGGTAGTTGCTCGAGGGTCCACGGCTTATGTTTGATGGAAAAGACAGCATCCCCAGTCTGTGGCTCTACAGCTCTTGTGTTTGCAAAGCTGACCCAGCCCTTTGGTTCCACAGATGAGGGAACTGACAGATTGAGTGATTTCCCCAGGCACAGGTCTGGACCTTGCCTTCTGCCTCCAGAGAAGGCTTCCCCCTCAGAGTGGCCGGGTCTCCTCTTTATGCAGTAGGCACTCACTGAGACCCCACTGTGCACCAGGCTCTGCCCTGGATGCTGTGAAAACAGCAGTGAATGAAACAGCCCAAAGCTCTTCCCCACCAAGCTTACATTCTCTTCCCTTCTAATGAGGAGAAATCCATCCAGGGCATGGAGAGTGTAAATCGTGTTTTTCTTTATTTAATCTTCAGAAACACCCTACGGGGAAGATTCCTGGAAGGCACATTCACTGTTGAATCTGATGGCCTGCTGGGAGGAGATGCCAATACGTTTGGGATTTGCTGTGGGTTCATTTGGGAAACCCTTGTGGGATTCGGGGACTGAGTCACACAGTCACCATGGGCTCCAAGCAGAGCTGCTTCATCTCAGAATGTCCCTCACCTCAGGAAAGAGTTCCCACAACTGGGTGACTTAGGCGTTCCCCATATAAGGCAGCAACAAGGCTTATTTGGGGTTTCCTGCTAGAGGCTCAAGAGCCTCGTCCTAGCTCCTGAATTCTGGAATGTTAGCACACGAAGGACCTTCAGACCATCCAACCCAACCCTCTTTACAGATGGGAGACTGAAGCCAAGACATGACGGGGGCCTTGTCCATGGTCACAGGGCCAATTACTGACAGAATTGGAGCCAGAGTCCATGTCTGAATCGAGGCAGTCTCCTTCCTTCCCCGGTATTAGACCTGTCTCCATAGAAGAGCCGGGTGCATCATAGGTGCTCAATAAAAGCTCCTCAAACAGAACCACAGGTCAGAGAGCCAGCATTTCTCTTTTCATCAGTTTCCCAAAGGTTCACAATGCACCTCACATACAGACACTAAAGTCCATTGGCGATTGGAAAACTTCTCCCAAATGTACACCCTATCTTTCCATATGGAGATTCCATATCAGGACATAAAGGCTTGCTCCATTGTTTAAAGCTGCAGAATACTCCAATTAATGGAAATATCAAATTTTATTTTGCAGTCTTCTGTCAATGGATATGTAATTTATTCCCAACTTTGAGCTACTAGAGCAATCCTTCAGTGGATGACCGTATACATGTGTCACCCTCTTCAGATGGGAAATTCCAACTGGACGTGACTTTCCTAGGTCAGAGGATATGTGTGTTTTCATATTTGAGAATATTGCCTAATTTCCCTCCTAGATGATGTAGCAATCAGGGCTCCCCACAACCCTTGAACATAGGTGGGGAAGGTGGCTTTATCCTGATTGTGCAGGTATCACAGGCAAAGGCACGGAAGTTTCCACGTGGTGCCTCCCCAGCCCAGGCAATCACAGCCAGTGGCTCAGGTGTGACTCAGACTGGCTAACTCCTGGAAGGGTACTTACCCCTCTTAGCCATGCTGCCCGCCTAAATGATTCTCTTGATGAGACAGGAGGGAGGCAGAGGGAGGCCAGAGACCAGCAGTTGTGCCAGAGTCTCCTTAAAACCAGTGCTATGGGGGAGGAGCTATTTGTTGCCTCCTTTAAAGATGAAGACACTGAGGCTCAGAGAGGAGACCTGAGTGGTGAGCAGGCTGGGGAGCCAAGGTTCATCCCCACCAGACAGACTTACAGCCCCTGTCTCCGCAGCACTCACTCAGCTTTACTTTTTAAAGTGTGGAGTAATGCTCCAATCTTCTCTTTCCAAACACTTGCATTATTCAGTTATACAGCAAAAACTATCAAAAGCAAAACAGACTGAAATATTGGTGAAAAGAATAAAAATATGGGATAATTCACAAATACCTAAAGAGAGACCTCTGTATATCTGTTAATTCCGGGTTAAAAATAGATCTGTGTTTATTTTTGAGAAGCATCTTCTGTGTTTGATCCAAAGCAAAACTGCTTTCATTGCCCCATTTAATCCTGGCTACATCCCAGGAAGTAGAAATGCTGTCCTCCTATTTTGCAGATGAGGAACTGGGTGTGCCAGGCCACCTGTCTCCTGAGCTGAGCAGCCTGGTTGCAGCTCTCACGGTGGTGCCACTTTGCCATTTTTCCTGGCATTGGCTCTATAAACGCCCTCTCTGAGGTTGGTGAGCTCTCCGGGGAAGGCTGGCTAGGACCAGTTATTAACAAGGAGGGAGACCAGTCAGTAATTTTGTTCCTATGCCCAGATTGGTGGAAGTCACCCTGTGTGAAGAGGACTGTGAACTCAGGCCTGGACTTCCCTCTGGGTCCTGCCCCTACTCACTGTCTGACCATGGGCTGGTTCTCACCTCTCAGAGCTGTTGTGGCCTGAGCTGTAAAAGGAGAATAAGGAGACTGCCCTCCCGACATTATTAGAAAGATTAAAAATTAATGTCCATGAAGGTCCTTAACATATCACACGCTTATCATTAGTGATTGTTATCTCAGTCATATCTCCTGATTATTGATGCTCCTTTTGCAGCCAAACCCTCTGCCCCTGTGGTATCGGGCCCCACAGCGAGGGCCACACCTGAGCACACAGTGAGCTTCACCTGCGAGTCCCACGGCTTCTCTCCCAGAGACATCACCCTGAAATGGTTCAAAAATGGGAATGAGCTCTCAGACTTCCAGACCAACGTGGACCCTGCAGGAAAGAGCGTGTCCTACAGCATCCGCAGCACAGCCAGGGTGGTGCTGACCCGCAGAGACGTTCACTCTCAAGTCATCTGCGAGGTGGCCCATGTCACCTTGCAGGGGGACCCTCTTCGAGGGACTGCCAACTTGTCTGAGGCCATCCGAGGTAGAGGACCCTCACACCCAGCCTAAGCCCCCACCTGGCTGCCAAGTCCACTCCTAACTCCCCAGACTATTGCTCCAGATCTTGAATGGCCTGGAATCTAATTCCTGTGTTGTCCACCTTCCATGCACCTAGGTGTGCTGGTCACTTACCATCATTTAAATGGCAGCTGTCAGGGGACCAGAAACCACGTGCCAACCTCTATGCTAGAGAGTTTCATTTATTTCACCAAGAGCAACTACAATTAGTGAGCACCTACTGGGAGCCAAATCCCTATGTGCTTGGCGATTTCACTGATTTTGCTACTGTTCTTACATTCCAACTGCATGCAAGGGGTTGTGCTTGTAGATATCACTCATTCTTAGCCTAGTAGGAGCTACCAGTCCTTCAGCACCTACTGTGTGCCAGGCACTGTGCTTAGTAATTTCATTCATATGCAAAGAGCACCCTCAATGTCTGCGCACATGCTGCCTGCCTAGCACTGTCCTGGTGATGCCCTCACTGTGGTGGTGGGAGCTACATTATGGAGCCCTCCCTGTGATCTGTCTGTGCCACAAGTTCAGAGCTTCTGCCCTGTGCTGTTTCAGTTCCACCCACCTTGGAGGTTTTCCAACGGCCCATGAGGGCAGAGAACCAGGTGAACGTCACCTGCCAAGTGAGGAAGTTCTACCCCCAGAGACTCCTGCTGACCTGGTTGGAGAATGGAAATGTGTCTCAGACAGAAACAGCTTCGACCCTCACAGAGAACAAGGATGGTACCTACAACTGGACGAGCTGGCTCCTGGTGAACACCTGTGCCCACAGGGATGGTGTGGTGCTCACCTGCCAGGTGGAACATGATGGGCAGCCAGTGGTCAGCAAAAGCCATACCCTGGAGATCTCAGCCCACCAGAAAGAACAGTGCTCAGATACCACTTCTGGTAAGGTTACTTCAAATTTTTAAATTTTATCTTTTTCTTTCATGTTAAAATTAATATTTATGTTTGTCATAAAATAAGCTAGAAGCCTATAAATATAAAGTAGAATTTTAAAGTCAGCATCATTCTTCCAAATCTCACCCTCCAAGAGTCATCACTATTAAGAGTTTGAGGTACAACCTGACAGATTTTTTGACATAAATGTATACTGAATGAGGAAGAAAGGAGGCAAAGGGATCATGTGTTCGTCGCATTCTGCATCTTGCTTTTTACTCCTGACAGTTATTACATTCCCGTTTCTCATCAGCCACCCTGTCTCCTTCCTACTCCTTCTGACCTCTGCCTTGTCTGTTCCTTCCTGAACTTTTCCATTCATATCTGTGACCTGCCCCCAGCAGACTCCCACGTCTGCTGTATGAATTTCAGAAAGACATGTGGAATCTAAACCCGGACCAGGCCCCCAGGTGACCATAAGTGGTAAAAGCATGGGCCTCATTTGGGTCCTGATGATGATATTTGACCAATAACAATCACAACAGCTCTCTGCAGATTTATTATGTGCAAATTTCTGTTCATCTATGATCTCCTTTCCTGCTTCAACCATCCAGTGAGTCTGGAGTTTTACAGAAGGGGAAACCAGGACTTGGGAAGCAATAGGGGATATTGTTGAAGACAATTAGATTAAGGCATTAGACCACATGACTGGTCCAAACTAATCAAGGTAAGTCTGAGGTCCTGAGGACAGGGTCACCACCAGCCTATAATGCAAATTTATGCTAGTTTGAGAAATGTTCCCTTTCTGCTGGGACACAAAATGTCCCAAGGATGTGAATTTGGCCAGTGTTCCCCCATCTATGACCAAAATAGATCTTATTTCCCTCTCATATAATACTAGGAGGGGTCTCTATTCCAGAAGACTTTTAGAAGGCCCAGGTTCCTTCCCACATACTCTATGGCATTGACTTTATCTACTGGGTCAATGCCGGGTCGCTGATTTGTCCATGTCCCTGCCTGCTGGAAGAGAGAAGACAGGAAGTAGAGGACAACAATGTCCCCTATAATCAGAGATGTGTGGAAGGTACATAGTCACGTCCACTGCTCACCCAGTTATGTGTGCCCACGCAGTTGCAAGAGGAGTCCACAATTGTGTGATCTGATCATTGAGGGCATTTTTTACAAAAACAATATCATTATGAACTTAATAAAATGTAAAATTTTTATGCCATTAAATTTCATAAAATTGTTAAAATAATTCTCTCACATCACCTAAAATGTAGCATACATTCAAATTTCCCCAAATTTCTTTTGTAACCATTTTTCTGTGCACCAAATTTGGTTTTAATTTATCTTTAAATGTTTGGTAGTATTTTTCTATGAAGTATCTGTACCTCAAGAATATTTTGGGGTACTTTAAAATTATGAATTGACTTTCCTCAATAGTTTAGGGCTATTCACATTATTCATTTCATATTGGGTGAGATCTGGCAACTTGTGCTTTTCAAAGAGTTTTTGGTCCATTTTATCTATGTCATCATATTTCTGTGTGTAGAGTTGTTTATAATATCCCTTATGATCCTTTTGATGTCTGCAGGGTCTGTAGTGATAGCCCTCGTTTCATCCTGATATTTAAAATGTGCCATTTCTTTTTTCTTATTCGTCAACCTTGCTATAATTTTTCCTATTTTATTGATCCTTCCAAAGGATCAGCTGCTTCAGTTGGTTTTTGTATTGTTTTTATATTTTAATTTCACTAATTTTCTGCTCTCTTCTCTTTTTATTAATTCTTATCTCTGGTTTGTTTCGGGTTTATTTTGCTCTACTTCTTGTAGTTTCTTGAAGTGGGGATTTATATGATTGAATAGAGACATTTTCTCTTTTCTGTGTCTTTTTTTTGGTCATGTTCTATGGCTGGGAGCTCATACTGAGGAGATGGGTCCCAGGTGCCTGGCCTCAGGGCTGTTCCTCAGTCCTCAGGTCCCTAGCCAGTCTGCCTTCCTTTTTCACCTTGGAAGTTCTCCTATGCCTGCTCCTCATATTTCCAGAGTTCTTAGTCTTGCTTCTCGAGGAGGAGCAGGAAGAGATGAATCTGCACCATCTGTCTGAAGCTGAATTTGCTTTTTAGACTTCCATCCACTCACTGGAGCTCCGACCAGGGCTGCCATTTTTGGGTGGTTTCAGTGTGCTGGATGTAGCATCCTTGCTCATGTGCTATGGCTGGAAATGCATGTTAAGTTGTCTAGGCAGGTACACAACATGCAAGATGCCTTATGTGATGTGCTGCACCAGCAGCATGGCAGCCTAGTGAGATTGTGCACTAGGGTGTGGTGAAGGTTCTCTTTTGACCCACAGTCATTTTGCAGTTTGGCATTCTTTGTTCAAGTAATACTCAGAGCCAGGTTTGTGCAAAACTTACTTTTCCTTTTTTGCTTTTTCTTTTGGTTTGGGGAGGTTAGTTATAATTAGTTATGCTGCTGCAACTGTCTCCAGAAACCCAGAAGATGACTGATGATCATAAGTTCTTTGACCCAAACATTCCCTCCCACATCTCAGGGTCCCGCAACTTCCCCATCAGGGCCCTAGCCCAGCACAGCAGCCTGTTGAAGCTGAGATTCATCCACCTCTGTGGTTCTGCTACTCTTATAATGATCTGGAACCCAATCTTCTATTCTTTCTGCCCTCTGGCTCCAGGAGATAACAATCTGCACTGCTGCCAAGAAGTCCTCTGGTTTTCACACTAAGCCTTAATTCACGATAAGTTACTCTTAGCTTCTCATCATCTTTCCCCAAAGAATTGGTGCCCAGCAACAGTCATCAAACACCTTAGTCCTCATAACTACCATTTCCCAATCCAGTTTCAAATGGCTGATGCCAAGGAATTTCCTTCCTACTTCACTGCCAGCGAAAGTTGTATTAATTGCACCATAGCTGCAAGCCAGGGCCAGCCCAGCTCCACTCACTACCAGCCCTGGGGTCCTCATTGCCAGCTAATCTTGATGAGTGGTCAGTTTCCAAACTTGCATTTTAGAGTCTACTTTTCAGACCATTTCCACTGTCAGTTTTGCTAGGAGGTCAACTGGAGGTGGATACAGGAATTCAGGAAGCATGTTAGAGTGCTGTCAGGGTCAATATGCCTGAGGGAGTGAGGCAGAAGTGTAGGAGAGGGCTGTGCTGAGCCACAGTACAGGCAGGACAAAGATCCAGCTGATTCTTCAGAGAAGCCAAGGGCTGAGAGAGTCCCTTAGAGTTGTGTTAATTGAGGAGAGCGGCGTGGCCTTCCTATTTTCAATTCAGCCAGTCTTTCTATGGGCTGCCCCGTAGAAGGAGGAGTGAACTTGGAGAGTACAACTCTCCTCAAGGGGGACAAAGTTCCAGAGAGCTACCCAGCTGAGAACTGCTGGCCTCCAACATTCCAGCCACAGATGCTGAGATCTCCATTCCTTCCTTAAGGACCCATCAGCACCATTTTATTTCCCAGAAAACATACATGAAAACAGAAGTAAACATAACTTCATTTGTTTGCTTTTAACAGCAAAAAAAATGCTCATTGTAAAAATGCAAAGAATCCAAATGTGTGCTCCCCCAGGTCTGACTGTCTGTCCAACAGAGAGATTTCAGATGGCACCCGCTCTGGGGTCGAGGTGAGCTTGATGTCTGAGTCCCTTCCAAGCATGAGAGTCATGCTTTGACTTACCAGGGTGTTTTCTATCCAGCACAGTATATTAGGCCCAGCCCCTCAAGGGCCTCCCCAGCTCTCAAAAACACGGGGTCCACCCTCACTGTGGGGGCTAAACAGGGCAGCCTGCAAATCTTTCACTCTGAAGCCATCCTCATATAAACAAAAAGCATGTTAGTTGCCTGCTGCATGTAGAATCCAATCAAGGAGAGCGAGGTCTGATACAAAAAAAAGTGAATTTATTCCAAAGCTAGGTTGGGGAAAGGGCTCAAAGTGTCCTGCCTTTAAATGTGCTGCTTCCCCTTTGGAGCAGAAAGCAGACACTTTCATAAGGTAATGGGGATGGGACCAAGGGCAGGAGTCCCTCTGCTAGTGCCTGGTGACTTAGCTACCCGACAGTTGAGTTGGTGCCATCCTGGGCAGAAGTCAGTTGTAAAAGTGGCCAAGCGGGCATGCTTTCCATATGCCCTTCTGGTGGATGAAAGTCTGGAAGCTACCCCTGGAGGTGAAGTTTCCGTGGTGGGTATGCTTTGGTGTGCCAACTTTCCAGCAGAGATCTGTCTTGGAGCACACAGAAGAACTTGCCCTGCAGGGAATATCTGGTGAGGGGGAGGTGAAAGGTTATATTTGCATTTCTGAAGGGCTAAGTAGGAAACTGGGAGCAGGGGGAAATGGGAAAGAAAACAAAGAGAAAATAAACTACGTCTTAGCAAACTGGGGGTACTCAGTTATACTCATGACCCCTACCTGCCCTTTCATAATTGTTCCTATGACCCTGCAAAATTGGACTTGTCTTGTTCAAAAGGACACAGTCTCAGGAATCATCCAAAGGGACATAATCATGGGCTTCCCTAAGTTTGGATGCAAGTAACCTTGTGACCCTCCGAAATTCTCTGGACCTCAATTTCCCCATCAGAATGGAATAATAAACCCTGCCCTACAGGCTTGTGAGGATCAAGTGAGGGACTCAGGTGCCACACATGAATACGTGAGTACACATTCTGTCCACTTTGTCCCTCCGGGAGGACAGCCCGGCAGCCTGGGACAGGGTAAGGGAATGAGGAACCTCTTTCCCTGGCTTCTGCCTTATGTTGCAGCTAAGGCAGCCAGGGTAAGATGCAGTCTCCAAAGATTTGGAGCAGTGACAGTCCCAGGTAGCCTCAGATGGGGTAAGTGGGGTCCTCTGGGATGGCATCCTGGGTAGCCCCTTCCTAACTTCTCCTGTCTCCTGATTTCCAGGCCCAGTACTGGCTCCCACTGCTCCACTTCTCATAGCTCTCCTCCTGGGCCCCAAGGTGCTGCTGGTGGTTGGTGTCTCTGTCATCTATGTCTACTGGAAGCAGAAGGCCTGACTGTAAGTGTGGGGGATGGAGGCCCGACCAAGGGCTGCCCCAAAAGGGCAGGGCCAGCAGGAGAGTCCAGCCCACATATCATGCAGCATCAGGGTTAGTGGAGCTTAGAGAAGGTGACAGAGCTCCCTCCGCATCCTCAGAACGCTCAGGGAACCCTCTAAGAGGCTCCCAACCCCCAGTAAGTATGTGGGTGCTTGAGGAGGCATAAGCCAGAGTGTCCAAAGGTTTTTACAGCACCCCAGGGGTCCCATGAGGAGGTGAGAAGAGGAACCTGAATCAGGGGCTACTGAGTGGGTGTCCCTTGCAGGCCATCTCTAGATTATTTGATGCTGAACTCCATGGGCCCAAAGGAATCCCCACTGTCAAGTCATGTTGAGAAACCGCAGATGGGCAGCTCTTAGGGCTGTACCCATTCTGACCCTCTTTGTGCCTGAGTGGAAGCAATGAGGGAAGGGACACCAGGACTCAGGAAGAGGGCTGAGCTGGCAGAGTCCTATCTCAGGGCTGCCTGTCCACTTGCAACAGGCATCCCAGAAGGAGACCAGCACCGGGAATATAACAGGCTCCCAGGAAATGTTTCTTAAATGGTGAGCAGATGATTAAATATGGACATGTTATCCACAGCTCCTTCCCTCCTCCCCTGCCGCATAGGACCCCCAGTCTCTGCTGCCTCCTTCCTTTCTTGAAGGGCTCTGACTGAGAGAAGGGGCTGGTGAGAAGCTTCCCCAGACTCAGCTCCAAACGCCTCCCCTCCCAGGACATCTTACTGCCCACAGGTTCCTGTTGCTCCTTTGCAGAGTCCTTGATTCTCCAGAGCAGTCTTCATTCATGGTCCTGAGCAGAAGCCATGGCATGGGGCTCTGGGGAGTGACTCATGACACCTCCCTAGGATGTGGGAAACACGCCAAATCTAAACCCATCAGGACACCTCTCCTCTATCGTCTTGGACTGTCCATAAGCCACAAACTGCAGTTCAGATTCTCAAGAGTTATTCTGCCTTCTGGATTCCTGCCTACCCAATTACCCAGCCTTGTTGAGATTCTCTATTGCCTCCTGAATACAAATTAACACTCATCCTGGTTTTAAGGAGAAAAAATGATTCTCCTTCCTCTTTGTTTAAACATATGATACAGTTTGGATATTTTTCTCCTACAAATCTCGATGTGAAATTTCATCCCCTATGTGGGAGGTGGGGTCAGGTGGGAGGTGTTTGGGTCATGGGGATGGATTCATCATGAATGACTTGGTGCTATCTTGGTCTATTAGTACCCACAAGATCTGACTGTTTAAAAGTGCCTAGCAGCTCCCTCTTCTCTCTTTCTCTTCCTCTCTCCCCATGTTATGCCAACTTCACTTCACTGTCCACTGTGAGTAGAAGTACTCTGAGGCCCTCCTCAGCAGCAGATGCAAGTACCATGCTTCTTGTACAGTCTGCAGAACCAAAAGCCAAATAAACCTCTTCTTTATAAGTTATCCAGCCTCAGGTATTCTTTTATAGCAACACACATGGACAAAGACAGTGCTACTCCTCACACCTAGAAAGAAAGCAGCTCTCCCTCCTCTCTCTGTGACAGAAACACTAGTTTTTCTATCATCCTGCAACATTCCTAAATCTGTTGCTCATGGTAAAAACACCGTGACAGTCCTAAAGCCGTGGAGTCCTTCTCGATTTCTTCTTTGTTTATACCTCATACTCAGTTCTGCTTCAAAATGCTTACGTCCCCTGGTGAGACGGTAAGTGTTTGACAATTGACTCTTCGAAAGAAAAAAGAAGGCTGAATTGTAGTGTTTGTCAATTTCTGTGGGGTGAATACTCCCAACATGGCCCATTTCAAGCTTCTAACACTTTAAAAACTAGAATACACAATTCCTGAAAATTTAACAGTTGGCTGTCCTGAGCCAGTCCCAGCCTGCTCCGGCACACAAAGGAGTTGTACCCATAACCTGCACACCTCTCACCTCCACCACTCCTGCATGGTCCCAGCCAGCATCATCTCCTCCTGGACCACTTACAGAGCTTCTGCTGGATTGCATTTTTCAGCCTCACTTATTTTTTGGAAAAGTCAAATCCTGTCATTCCTCGGCTTCTTCCCCGCGACAGCTGCATGGCTCACTCTCTTCTGTCCTTCAGTTTATTAAAGGCAACTTCTGTAAACCACCCTACATAAAATATCCATTTTCCTCTCCACCCTAGCATTTCCAATGTCTCTTAACTTGATTAGCTTTTCTCCTTAACACTGTATTATATTATTACATATATTATACTAAATACAGGGCAGTCCTTACTTTGCATGGCAGTGCAAGATTATAAAAATGACTGAAAACACTGAGACCCTGGAAAGCAACTCTACATCCAAAGGGGAAAATAATGACTCCTCTGTGATCCTCATAATATTTATCAAAATATTAGAAAATATAATATGTCAGTTGCAAATGTAGACAGAAGGGAAAAATATTTAGTTCATGGTATTTCAAAGGATTAGAAACATTGAGGATTAAATTATTATTTCTTTGTAAAACACAGCAAGGATAGTTGGAACAGTGCTTGTCTTCTTGTGTATTTCTGATGTGGAACAAGCGTAAGATGATGAAAACACTGGTATATTTTGAAACGGTCCCCTTTCCCCTTCCTCTTCAGGAAGCACTACTGAATATTTCTCTCATACTCACTGTGAGGACCAATCAAGCTGCTGTGGGTAAAATTCGCAGAAGTGTGGGAGCTCCCATGACTGGGTTCTCCTGAGTTTTTAACTCAGACTGGCCCTCACTGAACTTACAACAATTCACCATTCACGGTGCAGGGTTTCTGACCCCAGCACTCGTTCCCATGGAGGTTTCCAATTCAGGAAGTTGTAATTCTCCGTATCACCCTGTCTGTCTCTCTAATTTTGCCCTGTGACCTCATTTCTCCGACAGATCTAAGAGGAGTTGTTGTTTTTTGATTTGCTCAGCTTGTTACTTGATGTTGGTTTGAGAGACTTTTTGTAGGAGTCACCCAGGAGATTTGGTTCCATCCCCAAAGGCTTCCGTAGCCACAAGCCCTCAAATGTGCCACACCTGGAATTATGGTCTCTGAAGCTGCAAGCTCAATCCTTGGCTACAGAACCCTATAGGTCTGAGCTCTCAAATTAGGAAGGGTCATGGGACCCCTGGCATGAGATGAGAGTCTCTGGGATATAGAGCAGGCTCTGTGGCAGTCAACCTCTCTCCAGTACTGTCCAAGGCTCCCAGGTCTGGGAACCCCAAGCACAGACGTCAGCAACTTCCCAGCAGTGGCAACTGTGTTCACTTCCTCTTTCACAATGGAGGATGGCCCCAGTCTCATGGCCCCTTCCTCCCACAGCAACTTCCCTCCTGGGGCATCATGGCAAGGTGGGGCTTCTCCTCCCCTGCAGAGCACAGAATCTGAGGTCTCTTCATGACAATCATTCAGACAGATATCCCCAGCCCTGTGTCCCAGCTCGCCTGGACAGGCCCTGCCACCTCCTCTGCTCATAGGACTCACAGTTGTGTGCAGCCTGCTCTACATAGGTGTATTTCTATGTGATGTCTCCTCTCCCTCTCAGTCCATCTCCCCTGTTCCCCTAGATTTCCACTTGGGAGCATTTTCTTGTCTCTTATCCCAGCATGAGGCAAGATTTGGAGCACTTTTTCTATGAGCATCTATGTAGGCCCTAATTAGGATGCACCTTGCCCTAGTCATAGTGATTCCCCCAGAGGCCATGGCTGTACCATGACCCTGGTGCTGAGCACACGACCTCAGCACCCATGATTCTAGGGCTAAGCACATGACCTCAGCTCACCACCATGGTACCCCCACCTCCCCTAGACACTGGCCGAGGTTGTCACACCGCATCATAAATCCTTGAGGGCAGAGGATCTGTTTTTTAAAATTGTTACTATTACTAAAACTCTACCTAATAACAATAATGTCTAACTAATAGCTATAATAATAATAGCAAAACTGAATATCTAGGTTTGGGGACACAGTCAGGTATTATTAGGCACTTTGCATATATTAGTTCATTTAATTCCCATAACAATCTTATGAGGTTGGTGTGATTATTATGTCCATTTTACAGCTGAGGAAACTCAAGAAACAGAGAAGTTAATAGTATCCACAGGATCACACACTTGGGAGCTGGTAGAGCTTGATTTCAGACTAGGAAGTTTTAATTCCTAAGCCCACAGTCTTAATCTTTAGTCTTCTGGAGGAAGCATCCATGGGCTCCCAGTTCCTCATGTGTCCCAAAGTCTTCCCTGGTCATCTGCACCTAATGTCGTGAGTGGGGGTGAAATATGGTAGATGAAGGGGGAATTTTAGCTCATGGATTCCAGGCTCCCAGTTCTTTCAAATATTCAAATTTTATCCATGCTGTACCAAGTCAACCTAAAGTTGAAACTGAATTCTACATGTGATTTCCACGAAAATTTTTTACTTGAATAAGCATCTATGGATCTAGCATATCTTTATTGAAGGATTAGAGTTCCTTGAGAACTCCTTGACAGTTCCTTCCTTGGGAAGGCAACTTGCTGCTCCAAGCACAGATCCTGCCATCTTCCTGACACTATTGCATCAATTTTAAAAAATTGTTTGTTTGTTTGTTTGTTTTAAGACGGAGTTTTGCTCTTGTTGCCCAGGCTGGAGTGCAATGGCGGAATCTTGGCTCACTGCAACCTCCACCTCCTGGGTTCAAGTGATTCTCCTGCCTCAGCCTCCGAGTAGCTGGGATTACAGGCATGCACCACCGTGCCCGGCTAATTTTGTATTTTTAGTAGAGCCACAGTTTCTCCATGTTGGTCAGGCTGATCTTGAACTCCCAACCTCAGGTGACCCACCCGCCTCGGCCTCCCAAAGTGCTGGGGTTACAGGCGTGAGCCACTGCACCTGGCCTATTGTATCAATTTTGGAGTCCCATATTCCAAACTATGATTTTTGGAGGCATGAAACTTTATGTCTCACGCCTTCCAAGCCAATTGCTATTTTCATGGAAGGAAATATTCCTCTTTCCACCACTGGTGTGTTTTACCTTAAATTATGTATCTTTAGATATTAATATTTCTGGGTTTTTCTTTCTTTTTTGCTTTGTAAACAGTAGACTTTTATACAAATATAAAGTTTTGCACCTTCAAAGTTACCACTCCAATAAAGACACCTGTTAAAATCAGCAAAACATCTTGAAATATATTTTAACAATGTACAAATGTATTCACAACATAATCTCCTGATTAAGAGACTCCACTAAGTTTATAGTACCTACAGCACAATTTACAGATGCCTACAATAGTTTCTAGGCTGGTTTGGTTTATAATTAAATCTACAGCTTTAAGAAATACCATTAATACAAATGCATAATCTATAATGTTCTCATTATAGTAAGAAAAAATACAGATTCATGAAACAAAATGTCTTTACCCATTATGTGAAGTACATAAATGATTATTCTCACTAAAATATAAGAATAATGTGTTTTTAGTAATAAAAGATAAATTTCATTAAGTCAAAGAGCATTAAAGAGCTCCAGGAGGTTCCAGAGTAAAATCTGGTTACCCTCATAAAATAAATAGAACAGCACAATTTCTGGGTATTTCTTAAACACAAACTATGATAATTTCATTTATATTAATTGGGCCTTAAGCAAATGACTTCTTACAAATGAAAATAAACAAAACTTTAGAAACTAGGTAATATCAATTCACTAAATTTGCTTTTTACTCATTTGTGTATGTCTAAGAAATTTTACCATGAAGTATATATTAAAAATCAACAATTATTTCTAATTTACACATAAGCCATTGTGCTCACTCATACCATGGAAACAAAACTTGCTTCTGAAAACAATCTACAGAAATAATATGTAAACACATAAAAGTTTTGAGATACGCTAAGAACATCCTATGTTCTATGGATCAAATAGCAAAGGCCTTCATTACATATATCAATAAACACACTTTGGTTAATTTGGGATATATTGATATTACATGACCTTGTGCATACCTCTGTATACCATTAAATAAATTTGGACGTTTGTAGTGACAACACACTTTCTAGCCCCCAGTGCTGGAAAGAAAATAAAAACTTAATATGAAAACTACTTTCATTTGTTTCTAATAAAGTTATCAAGTGGGAAAAAAAAGCCAACGCTTTTTGTTGCAACATAAACTGATATCTAAAAGGTTCAGAGTCAAGAATCTCTTAGGTTGCGCCCAACATCATAAAACACATAAACTTTCTCCCTCTATTTAAGAAATCCGATCATGTCTAGTGTTTACTCTGAAGGAGAAGAGGGCATTGTATTAGTCCGTTCTCACACTACTATAAAGAACTACCTGAGGCTGGGTGTGGTGGCTCACACTTGTAATTCCAGCACTTTGAGAGTCTGAGGTGGGAGGATTACCTGAAGTCAGGAGTTCAAGACCAGCCTGGCCAACATGGTGAAACCCTGTCTCTACTAAAATACAAAAATTAGCCAGGCATGATGGTGGGTGCCTGTAATCCCAGCTACTCAGGAGGATGAGGTGGGAGAATCGCTTGAACCCAGGAGGCGAAGGTTGCAGTGGGCCGACATCATGCCATTGCCCTCCAGCCTGGGTGACAGAGTGAGACTCCATCTCAAAAACAAACAAACAAACAAAACTATCTGAGACTGGGTAATTTATAAATAAAAGATGTGTAATGGACTCACAGTTCTGCATGGCTTGGGAGGCCTGAGGAAACTTACAATCATGGCGGAAGGTGAAGGGGAAACAAGGAATGTCTTACATGGCAGCAGAAGAGAGAAAGAGTAAGGGGGGAACTGCCGAACACTTTTAAACCATCAGATCTTGTGATAACTCACTGTTCTCACTGTCATGAGAACAGCATGGGGGAACCACCCACATGATTCAATCACCTCCCACCAGGTCATTCCCTTGACACATGGGGATTGTAATTTGAGATGAGATTTGGGTGGGGACACAGAGCCAAATCAAATCAGACACTAAAGGCAAGTATCACTCACAGCATGGACAGGCCATTAGTCCCAACCAGAAGATTCTTATTTCAGCCTCTAAGACAGTTTTACTCTCTTAAGAGGATGCCTCCCATGACTCAAATGCCCAATGGCCCTTTCCATTGTCATCAATGTGATTCCACCAACATAGTCCAATCATTACTCTGCCGGTGACATTCTTCACTGCGCAAAAGCCACCTGACAAAGAGATCATTGTCACCACACAGGCAAGAAAGCTACTTCTGGGCAGTTCATGGAGAAAATAGACGGCGATTGCACTGACTCAAAATAATTAAAGAAAGAGTGATGCCACTGGATGTCTGAGTTTAGATTTCCTTGGTCTATTAGTTGTCTACCCTTCTAAATAAAACAGTGAAATATCTTCAGTACAATCATCACTGTGCCTTCAGAGCCAGCCCCGGGCACCGCCACCCTCTCTGCAAGCGCTCCACTCCTCAGTTGTTTCTAGGAACCTTTTTGACACGTTTTGTGAGATATCTTTTGCTATTCCTATATTTACACCTATTTACATTACTCTCTTTAGGTGTGTCTGTGCTGAATCCTAAGGGATTTCCCCACATGATCCCCCAACCCAATAACTTACTACTTACGTATATATTGTCACCTAGTCAACCCATTACATTTTTTAAAACTGTCCTCAGTAATTATGTTTTCATTTCCAAAGTCTCTTTTTTGGTTATTGCTCCAAGAAACCTGTTACTTCATGCCTGATTATTCCTGTTTCATACATGCCTGATGTTGTTTTATGGATTTACTTCCCTTTTGCTATCTTTATAAGGTTACTATGTATACTAATTTTAAAGACCTTTTTATATTTTATTTTTTCGTATGTTCTCAGTTGTGAAGTTCTCTTGATTGCTGTTAATGTTTTTAAGTTATTGTTGTTCTTGGATTGGTTAGCTATCTCTCATGGTGCTGCTGTTCTCCAAATCTTCAGTGATTCCTTCTTGCACTGCCGTCTTTCCAGAAATAATGCCCTACCCCATGTGATGGGGTTCTCAGGGCCTCCTGGAGCATGGCACCTGCCACAGCCTCACTGTGGGGGCTGTTCCTAATTGAGGCTATGGCTTCTTCTCTGCTTCTTCCTGAGGGATGTCTCTCCTTTCATATGACAGATGTCATAGTGCAAACATTAAAAGTGAAGTCTGTGGCATGTGGCACCCTATGCTCTAGTTCTAAAAGCTGAGTGATCTTGAGGAAATCCATTACTCTCTGTGTACCTCAGGTTTCCTCACCTGTGAAAGGAGGTAGGTTAATAGCAGCGCTTACCTGATGGAGTCAGAGTGATGAATTAATGAAGTAACTGACATAAAATGCTTGACACCATTTCTGGGGCACAGGACATCCTTAGTAAATGATAACTGCTACTATTCCTTCACGTCACATAAAGATGATTGTCTTGTTTTTAAGTGTAATTTGACATGGATTAACTTAATTTTATCCTTTTTCATTTTCATTTTTGTTGGTATAGAGTAGGACGGGAAGATTTCGCCTGTGCACATGTGCCACATTGAATAGAACTTTGAATGAGAATATGATAACTTTTACACTTTCATTTGACAATAACAGATGAAGGACCTAAAACCCAGCAGGTGACAGGGAGGCTTCCAGACAGGCCTTTCTTAGTCATAGATGATACAACCATTTCTCCTAACAAGGTGGTTTTTCTAAAGCACAACTGTGGCAGGAAAGCAGTGAACCCTTCCCATAAAAAAAAATTATAGCCATATTTTTTGGTTAAAATTAATGATGAGTCAAGCACTCATTATGGTTTATATTATTCCTACCACATTTCTACAAGGTGCATGTTGGTGCATGTTATAACTTCCATTTACATACAATCAAAATAAGGCTCAGAGAAGTCAAGTGTCTTCTTGAAAGTCACACAGCTGAGAATAGTGAGAGAACAAATTAATTTGTGGATTATAAGGAGCAGGATGCAGAGAATCCAAGAGAAAGCAATTGATCTCAGAGTGGCAGGGATAGTCCAAGTACATCATATAATCTGGGTCTCAGGAGGCCTGGGTTGCTGGGAGAAAGCCACTGGTGGGCAACTCACCATGCAGTAGGGATCCATTCAAAAACACCATTTGAGTTCCCGCTCTTCACCTGGCGCCATTAACATCAATAATAACCTACTGGGTTTCAGGCATGGTACAGTCATTATCTCCTTTAATCGCCACTAAAACACTGCAATGAAATACTATAACGCCCAGTTTAGAGACCAAAACTGAGCGTAGGTGGGTGCAATGACTTCCCCAACTCCTTAGTTGGGGAGGGCAATTATATTTCCTCTCTCCCCATTTCCCATCTGAACACAGTGGTGAATCCTGTAGGTCCTCTGTGCAGAACAAAAGGTATTAAAGTTGATGTGATGGCCTCAGGAACCTGTCCGCCATATTCTCCCCCAATCATAACCCTATCCTTTTTCCATAACCCACAACCCTCACTTCACCCCACAAAACAGATCCTTACTAAACTAAAACTACTGGCTCTCCTCGAAGAAGTCGGGAAATGATTTCTTCTACTGGATTCAAGCCCATGAAAGTGCCAAAGTCCAGATTAGACTGAATTTGGGCTACGTTTCGCCAGTTATATCAGTAAAAGTTTAGAATAGCTGGGCGCGGTGGCTCAGACCTGTAATCCCAGCATTTGCGAGGCCGAGGCGGGCGGATCACGAGGTCAGGAGATCGAGACCATCCTGTCTAACACAGTGAAACCCCATTTCTACTAAAAATACAAAAAATTAGCCGGGCGTGGTGGCGGGCGCCTGTAGTCCCAGCTACTCTGGAGGCTGAGGCAGGAGAATGGTGTGAACCTGGGAAGCGGAGCTTGAAGTGAGCGGAGATCGGGCCACTGCACTCCAGCCTGGGCGACAGAGCAAGACTCCGTCTAAAAAAAAAAAAAAAAAAAAAAAGATTACAATAAAGAATCATTTCAAAAGCAGACCTGTTTCCTCTCCAACATCAAGAGGGTCCTTGTGATCCCTCCTGCTGCGCCCTGCTGAATAGCACTTGGTTGAGGCTGGTGCAGAATGAAGCAACAAGCCAACTACATCCTAGGGTCTTAAGATGGAGAGTTTAGGGCACAGATCACAACCACAGAACTTCTTGACCCAAGACCCTCAGCTGGCAAATCACCAAGAAGACCTGAAGATGGGGAAGGCGGCCATGTGGAGAGAACACAGGCCTCAGTTGAGGAGGAAGCATTATTTTTGCTCAGCCTGTCTGATTCTCCTGAAAATGGAGCACGAGTAACTCTGTGCTTTGTAGCTGCCTGCTGTGCCTGATTTCTATGTTACAATCTAAAAGCAAGTTACTGTCCCAATCCATCATAGCCACTTCCTCTTGAATCGAGGGAGGCGGGGCTTGTCTTCTCTCCTCAGAGCAGAGCCTGACATCTCCCCACCACAGACGTTTGAACAGAGCAGGCTCCTGAGGTCTTCAGGATGCCTGTCACAGCCTCCTGGCCCCACCCTCCTGGTCCTTTCCTGCTGCTGACTCTACTGCTGGGACTCACAGGTAAGCATTGCCTTGGGCTAGAACCCTTTCTCTCTGCTGCCGTGGCAATGCCCTGCCCCTGGACCTTTGGGGATTCCAGACAACCACAAGTGCTGCCAAGGAAGGCCAAAGATGGGGCCTCAGAGCAGGAAATCAGGGAGTTGAGCACTTTCTCTGTGGATCAGCAACTGGCTACCAGGGGCAGCTGGCTACCAGAGTCACAGGATGATTGAATCACCACCACCACAATTACTTACATTTTGATCTATTTCATTTGACTAACACAGAAAAATCATTATTTATATCCTTACCAGTCTTGAGACTCTGGGGCCAAACAACCTACCCAAGGACAGAGCAAGCTCAGAGACAGCCTGAGAGGGCTGTGTGACTCCAGACCCAGCCTTCTGTATTCAACACCCAGAGGAAGTGAAGTCTGAAATGGTGCCTTCTTGAGTTGGGCAGAGGTGCAGTGTTTCCCAGGGATGTTCAGCCACTGTCCTCCCTAAGGGTGCTCCTTACATTGTCCTGTGTTCCCCCATGATCCTTCCTCCCCTGTGACTTGAGTCTTACCACCCATTTTTCGGTCGCCTCTTCCTCTTTAAGAAGTTCTGCATTTGCTGCTTATTGGGGCCTATATTCCTTTCCTAGGGCTTCCATAGTAAAGAACCATAGACTGAGTGGCTGAAACTACACATTTACTTCCTTGCAGTTATGGAGGCCAAAGTCCAAGATCAAAGTGTCGGCAGGATTAGTTTCTACTGAGGTCTTTCTCCCTGGCTTGTAGAAGACATCTCCTCCCTGTGTCTCAACCCATGATTTTCCCTCTGTGTGTGTGTCTGTGTCCTCATCTCCTCTTCTTATGAGACCGTCACTCATATTGGATTAAGGCCCACCCCAATGACTTCATTTAACTGAACTGCTTCTTAAAAACCCTGTCTCCAAATACAGTCACATTCTGAGGTGCTAGGGTTGGAGCTTCAACACATGCATTTTAGGGGACACATTCTGCCCATAACAGATACCAACACACACACACGTGTGCAGTGGTCCCCAATCTTTTTGGCACCTGGGACTGGTTTCATGGAGGATAATTTTTGCAAGGACCTAGATTGGGTGGGTGGGGTGGACGGTTTTAGGATGAGACTGTCCCACCTCAGATCATCAGGAATTAGTTAGATTCTGATAAGGAGCACACAACCTAGATCCTTCGCATGCACAGTTCACAATAAGGTTGACACTCCTATGAGAACCTAATGCTGCTGCTGATGTGACAGGAGGCAGAGCTCAGGCAATAATGCTCACTCACTGGCTGCTCACCTCCTCCTGTGCAGCCCAGTTCATAACAGGCCACGGACCTGTACCCAACCACAGCCTGGGGGTTAGAGATCCCTGCATGTGTACATAAAAGTGATTGTAAGTGTGTACACACACACACATGAGATTTCATTTTTTATCAGTTTCTCCAACTTTAATTTCAATTAAAGCTTAAGAAAATGTTTTTTATTTTGATTTGAGAAAAGTATACTTCTCATGTACAACATATTATGACATGTGTACATTTCTGGATGACTAACTTCAGCTAATTAACATATGCATAATCTTACACACTGACAATTTTTATGGTGAGAACTCCTAAAATTTATGCACTTAGCAATTTTGAAGGATATAAATCATCTTATTAACTATAGACTCCATATTGTACAGTAGATATCTGGAGCTAATTTCTCCTATCTGAAAAAAAATTGTGTGTCCTTTGACTAATACTTACCCCACTGCACCCCTTGTCTAGCCCTGGTAACCACCATTCTACTCTAGTTCTTTGAGTTCAACTTTTTTAGATTCCATATACGAGAGAGATCATGTGGTGTTTGTCTTTCTGTGCCTGGCTTTTTTCACTTAGCATAATACCGTCCCGGTTCATTCATATTGTTGTAAATGACAGGATTTCCTTCTTTTGTACAACTGATTAGAATTCCACTGTGTATGTATGTAGACCACATTTTCTTTATCCATTTATCTGTTGATACACGCCTAGGTTGATTCCATATCTTGGCTATTGTAAATAATGCTGCAGTGGACATGGGAGTGCAGATATCTCTGTGACATGCGGACGTCATTTCCCTTGGATATACGCTCAGTAGTGAGATTGCTGGATCATATGATAATTCTATTTTTAAATTTTTGAGGACACTCCATACTGTTTTCACTAATGGATGGCCTAATTTTCATTCCCACCAACTGTGTGTAAGGGTTTCCTGTTCTCCACATACTCTCTAACACTAGTTATCATCTTTTTAATAATAATCATTCTAACAAGTGTGAGATGATAGATCACTGTGGTTTTAATTTGCATTTATCTTAAGAATGGTGAGGTTGGATATTATTTATATGTTGACTGGCCATTTTAATGTATTCTTTTGAGAAATGACTATTTGGCTCATATTTTACTTGGGTTGTTTTCTTATGATTGAGTTGTTTGACTTCCTTACATATTTTGCATATTAACTCTTCGTCACATGTATGGTTTGAAAATATCTTCTCCCATTTTGTAGGTTGTCTCTTTACTCGGTTGATTGTTTCCTTGGCTGTGTAGAAACTTTTTAGTTTGTTGTAGTGCCATTTATTTATTTCTGCTTTTGTTGCCTGTGTTTTGGGGGTCGTATCCAAAAATTCATTGCCCAGACCAACATCATGGAACTTTTCTTCTAGTACTTTTACAGTTTCAGATCTTACATTGAAGTCTTTAACACATTTTGAGTTGATTTTTGTATGTGGCATGAGACGGAGGTCTAATTTCATTTCTCTATACCTGGATATTCAGGTTTCCCAACACCCCTTTTTGAAGAGACTGACCTTTCCCCATTGTGTCTTCTTGACCTTTTTGTCAAAAGTCAATTGAGTGCAAATGTGTGAATTTATTGCTGGGCTCTCTGGTCTGATCCATTGGTCTATGTGTCTCTTTTTGTGCCAACGCCCTGCTGTTTTGATTACTATGGCACTCTAGAAGATTTTGAAATCAAGCTGTGTGATGCCTCTAGCTTTGTTCTTTTTGCTAAAACTTGCCTTAGTTATTCATGGTTTTCTATGGCTAATATGAACTTAAGGATTGTTTGGTCCATTTCTGTGGAATTTCATTGAAATTTTACTGGTATTGAATTGAATCTGTGGATCTCTTTGGGTAGTATGAACATTTTACAATAGTAATTCTCCAGTCCACAAACATGGGTATCTTTCTGTTATTTGTTTTCTATTTTTTTAATCTGGGTTTTATAGTTATTCAGTGTGCAGGTATTTCAGTTCCTTGATTAAGTTTATTCCTAGCTATCTTACCCTTTTTGGTAGCAATTGTAAATAAAATTGTTTTACTGATTTTTTTCCCCAATAATTTGCTATAAGTGTATGAAACTACTGATTTTTACTCATTGATTTCATATATTATATCTGTGGCCTATTTGTTTGTTGATTCTAAAAGTTTTTAGAGATTTTGGGGTTTTCTCTATGTAAGACAGTGCCATATGCAAACAGGGATAATTTATCTTCTTCCTTTTTGATTTGAATGACTTTTATTTACTTCTTTTGTGCAATTATTCTGGATAGAACTTCTGATACTATATGTTGAATAGAGATCTTGAGAGTGGACATCTGTCTTGTTCCTGATCTTAGAGTAAAAGCTGACAACTTTTCACCATTGGGTATGATGTTTGCTATGGATATGTCCTGTATGGCCTTTATTGTGTTGAGGAACATTTATTTGATATCTAATTTCTTGAGAGTTTTTATCATTAAAAAATGTTAAATATTGTCAAATGCTTTCTTTGCCTGTGTTGTATGGTCATATGGTTTTTGTCCCTTGTTCTGTTGAAATAGTGTATCACATTTAGAGATTTATGAATGTTGTACCATCCTTGAATTCCTGGGATAAATCTAACTTGATCATGTGGAAACATAGAGCAGTAGTAGTAGTAGTAGTAGTAGTAGTAGTAGTAGTAGTAGTAGTAAGACTTCCCTTACTGTAATCTTCAACTTATTTTTTGGTCTACAGGAAAGCACATTAAAGAGATGTTTGATTTTCTCTGTTGCCCAGTCATTCTCCCTCCTTTCTACCTCAGTCACCTTACCCCTGAAAATCCCCCAATCTGTTAAGCTAAGCAACAGGTAAGCAGACTTCTTAGTAAAATACACTTTCCCTCAAAACAGAACTTTTGCACATTCCTCTCTTGGAGTTCGCTCTTCCATTAATGGTAGGGGTGAAGAAGAAAGAAGGGGATAAAAGTAACAGAGAATCATGCCTATATTATCTATATCTGTCGTTATATTCATATCCATGTCCATATCCATATCATCACCTAATGTCCATTGAAGCCTCCAAGCCTCAGGAAATCTACCAAGTAATAACTTTACAATTTTTGAATACCCACCATGAGCCAGATACTGTGGGAAGTCGCTTACATTTCTGACCTCAGGTAACCATTATATCCAAGTTCCAAGTTCACCCTCCAACACAAATAAGGAAACAGAAGCACAAAGTGCTCCTAGGTTACTCATTGGTAACTGATAGAGTTACGATTTGAACTCAGGCACTTTGACTCTAGAGATCACAGGTTTCACCATTGCTCTTCTCAAACACTTTTGGTCTTGATCTTATTCCATGAAATTTCTGCAGGTGCTGCTCATGAGGGCGAGAAGGTGATGTGGTGTGAAAAGGGTTTGTGGTTTTCTTCTCCTTGACTCTTCTGATTTCTGCGTGTATACAACTCAATATTTTTTCACCAATTCACCCACATGGGAAACACATTTTCCAGCAAATTTCATAAAAGCAATTCACTTAAAATATAATATTTAGTCTCCTGGGAAAATGTTCCACTGAGCAATTCGCACATTATACACATATTTAACGAATACCTACTATGTGCCAGGACCTAACAAAGAACATTGTTGAATGAAAAAGAAAAAGTATGTGCCCTTTTGTTGCTTGTCTCCACTGGGGAGAATGACAGTAATCAATATACATGATAAATAGGCAAATAAAATAGCATATTAGACAGCAATAAGTGAAAATAAAGTATGCGTATATGACTTTTATTATTTTATAGAAGTTTCATATATTCATTTTATGGATGGTTTTTGTCATAAAAAGATCTCCAAATTTGTCAAATGGTCTTCAGTATCAAATGAGTTAATCATGCGTTTCTTCTCTTTCTTCTATAAATATGATATATTACATTGTTGGTCATTTGCGCATGGAAACATCCTTGTATTCCAGAAATAAATATCACTTGCTTGTATTGTATAATTCTTCTAATATGATGCTCAATTCAGTTTGCTAGTATTTGGTTGAGGATTGTTGCATCAACAAACCAAGTAGTAATAATGTCAACTGTCAACAGAAAAGGTGTGCAGCTGTACCTGGCAGTGATTTTAATTTTGTGTTGTAGTGCAAGTTTAAATTTCAATGGGTGTCATTTCAGATGAGCAGAGCCTGGCCTGTGGGGCAATTTATGGTTAATGATTTGCAACAGGAAAATATTATCCTTAAATCTGGACTCCAAGTCAGGAGATTCTAGTAGGTAACCAGTCAGTTGTTTTAATGGAGTATAGCATAGGCCACAAAGAACATTATTTTTGCATCAAGGCCCTGAGGAAATATATAGCCGTCATGAGTGGTCTAGAGACTCCAAGAGGCATGAAAGACATCGCCGAAGTCTCTACAGAGAAGAGATATTTTTGTTTGTTTATTCATTTAAAGACACTAACAGGAGTACCCGTTGATTTTAATTTGTAAGTAAAATTTGTAAATATGTTGCCACGGGCATCCCAAAAAAAACTTACAGATGCTGGATTATGTGACATTAATATGCATATCACATGAATCTTCTTTGAAGAGGTGTTACCAATGTTATATCTACTTGTGCTCCTGAAGAAAGGTGGATGTCATTATTGATATTGGAACAGGATCCTTGCTTCAGGATGGAGAGCCATGGCAGCACTCCAAAAGGCAACACAAAGCTGTACATAGCATAGTACAAGAAAGTCATCAGGGTAAAAAGCCTTCTCAAATTGTGGAGCCAATCAGAGTAGCAATTCTGTAAGTCATGAGGAGTCAAAGGCATTTCCTACGAACTTTCCACCCGAGTTTAGAATGATCCCATCCTCATTGCCATTACTATTGAAAATGTTAGAGTGACTCCTGCTGGTTGAATCTTGGAGGATCACTCTAGCATGGCCATGAAAAGTTCATATGAAGAGGCATATTCACAGTTCCTAGAGAAGGCAGAAGGGCAGGCCATGAAGGAAGCCATGTGCCAGGAGCTCCCAAGGAGCAGGCTCAATCAAGCAGATGGATAGGCAAGAGAGATGGGATTCCTGGGCAAGTGCCTTTACTGGGAGTCAAGGTGAGGGACACAAGCAAAAACCATGATAGGTTTTACTAGAGTGTTTCAATGTCACTAAGTCACAGTAGGGGAGGACAAAAGGAGGAATTGTGGCAGGGACCAGCTTTAAAATACTGGTTACCTGGTCACCTGGGCAGGGTGCTCGCAGCTTGTTTGTGGGATATTGAAGCATGATTCTTTAAAAATGTACACATAACTGGACATCTTTATTTCTTTATACAACTTTGAGTTACCATGCAGCATCCTTTCATTTCCACCTGAACCCCCCCCCATTAGTATTTCCTGTAGGTAAGGTTTAGTGGTCATGAACTCTGTTAGCTTTTGTTTATCTGAGAATATCTTAATTTGTCCCTTGTATTTGAAGGACACTTTGCTGGGTATAGAATTCATGATTGATATATTTTTCCTCTTTTAATGTTTTGAACTTACCATCCCTCTATCTTCTGGACTTCAGTGCTTTGTATAAGAGCTCAGCTGAAAATCTTATTGAGGGTCTCTTTTATGCAAGGAATCGCTTCTGTCCTGCTGCTTTAAGGATTCTCTCTTTGACTTTAGTTTTCAACAGGTGGGTTATAATGTGTCTTAGTGTGGGTCTCTGAGTTTATTTTTTAGTTCAACTTCTGTTTTTTCTGTGTCTTAAATTCGTAGATTCCTGTATTTTATCAAGTTTGTGAAGATTTTTGCCCACTATGTCTTCAAGTAATCTTCTATTCCTTTCTCTCTTTCTCTTTTTTCTCCCTGGAACTCTAGTAAGGTGTATGTTGATACATTTGATAATGTCTCACAATTCCCTTAGATTCTGTGCTCTAGACTTTATTCTATTTTCTACCCATACCTCAGTCTCAATAATTTCAATTATTCCGTCCTCCAGTTTTCTGATTATTCTTCCACCTGCTTATACCCATTAGGGAACTCCTCTAGTGGACTTTTAGTTATTGTACTTTCAATTCCTAAGTTTGTTTCATTTCTTCATATAATTTCTCTTTCCTTACATTCTCATTTTGTTAAGACATTTATATTCCTTTAGTTCTTCATCAATTATTTCCTTTACCTCTCAGCATTTTTAAGACAGTGATTTTAACATCTGGGTTTAGTATCAGGGTGGAGCTAATACATCACAAGGGTGCTTATAAGAAGGAGGAAGGAGATTAATTCTTGGAGAAGGACATTGAAACATCCTTGTATTCCAGGATGTTTGCATGTGAAGTTGCAAGCAAGAGGTTAGAGTGGTGGGAATATGTAACTGTGAGAAAGGAATATGAGAAAACTCTAGAATTTGGAAAGGCCTCCAGAAGACACACAGCTCTGCTGAAAGTTCTTTAAAAATTGTCGAAATGGAAGGTGTAAAACATGATGCCTTCATATACGTATACATATACGTAGTGAAATGATTATTAAAGTTAAGCAAATGGACACATCCATCATCTCCCATAGTTATGCTGCATGTGTTTTATGTCAACAGCACCTAAAATGTGCTTTTGAAGCAAAAATACTGAATTCAATACAACATTATTAACTAAAACCCACAGATTGCAAATTTATTCTCTGGACTTCTTTGTCAGACTTACTGCAATTTTGTATCTTTTGACTTCCCCATCACCTCCCCCAAGTTCACCTGTAGTCACCACTGTTTCATTCTCTATCTTTATGTATTTGACTTTTATCATTTCTTCTTGATTGTACCCCAGTAACACTATTTTGGACTTCTAACCTCCAGAACTATAAAATGTAACATTTTTTAAGACACTAAGTTTTGGTAATTTGTCACATCAGCATTAGGAAACTTAGGTAATGTGATTATGCTATGGGTGAAAAATTACCAGGGGCTTAAAACAATGTTGTATTTCCACTGGAAGCTACATATTCAGTGTGTATTGGCAGTTCTGCATGCAACTGTCATTCACGCATCCAGGCAATGGAGCAGGCCCCATCAGAGCCTTGTGGGTCTCTGGAAGGGAGAAATTGATCCATAGAGGCTCTTGCAGTTGAATGCACAACCCATAAATTATACCCATCACTTCTGCTCAAAACTCAAGGGTCTAAAGAAGTCACAGGGCCCCACCCAATCCAGCGATACAAAAAGTGCCACACTCCATGTAGCCACAGTTGGAGGCCATATTTGGCAAAACATGGCACTTTCAAGGAGGGCTCAATAGTTCTACTCAGGTCCTCAACCCAAAGCTCTACATTGAAATTTAACCTCTTGGGCAGGCGCAGTGGCTCACGCCTATAATCTCAACAGTTTGGAAGTCCAAGGCAGATGTATTGCTTGAGCCCAAGAGTTAGAGACCAGTCTGGGCAACATGGTGAAACTGTATCTCTACAAAAAATGCAATAATTGGCCAGGTATGGTGGAATGCACCTGTGGTCCCAGCTACTTGGGAGGCCAAGGTGAAAGGATCACTTGAGCCTGGGTGGTTGAGGCTACAGTGAGCTGTGATTGAGCCACTGCACCCCAGCCTGGGCAGCAGACACAGCAAGACCCTGTCTCAAAAAGAAAAGAAAAGAAAAGAAAAGAAAAGAAAAGAAAAGAAAAGAAAAGAAAAGAAAAGAAAAGAAAAGAAAGCAAACGGAAAGAGGAAAAGAAAATAAGGAAAAGGAAAGTGAACCTCTCTGTGCCTCAGTGTCCTCGCTTCTATTGCAGTCTTATGTTACAGGCCAGTTGTGCGGCTTAAATGAGATAATGCATGTAGTGGGCTGAGCTCAAGACCTGCTCCTAGTGTACACCCAGTCAATGAAAGTCATTGATAAACACTGGGGGAAACACACAGGATCACATAAGGATGAAAAAATGACTGCTTTGTGCTCCTTTCCAGGAAGGTTGTGTGAGGAGGAGCTGCAGGTGATTCAGCCTGAGAAGTCCATATCAGTTGCAGCTGGAGAGTCAGCCACTCTGAACTGCACTGTGACCTCCCTGATCCCTGTGGGTCCCATCCAGTGGTTCAGAGGAGTTGGACCAGGCCGGGAATTAATCTTCCATCTGCAAGAAGGGCACTTTCCCCGGGTAACACCTGTTTCAGACCCCACAAAGAGAAACAACATGGACTTTTCCATCCTCATCAGTAGCATCACCCCAGCAGATGCCGGCACCTACTACTGTGTGAAGTTCCGGAAAGGGAGCCCCGATGTGGAGTTGAAGTCTGGAGCAGGCACTGAGCTGTCTGTGCGTGGTGAGTACAGTGCGGGCCTCCTTCGTCCCCTGGTGTGTGACAATAAGTCAATAATTACATTATCCATTCTTGGAGCAACAATCAGGTGTGGTGGTGGCTGCTCATTTTCTTGATCTGATGTCACCCCTTCTCCGGATCACGTGAGTTGAGGCTTGGAGATGTCATGGTAGTCGTTCGAGGCTCCATGGTTTGTAAATGATGGAAAAGAAGGCATCCCCAGTCTGTGGCTCTACAGCTCTTGTCTTTCCAAAGCTGACCCAGCCCTTTAGTTTCACAGATGAGGGAACTGACAATTTGAGTTACTTGCCCAGGCACAAGTCTGGACTATGCCTTCTGCCTCCAGAGAAGGCTTCCCCCTGAGGGTGGCTGAGTCTCTTCTTTATGCAGCAGGCACTCACTGAGACCCCACTGTGCACCAGGCTCTGCCCTGGATGCTGTGCAAAGAGCAGTGAATGAAACAATCTAAAGCTCTTCCCCACCAAGCTTACATTCTCTTCCCTTCTAATGAGGAGAAATCCATCCAGGGCATGGAGAGGGTAAATCGTGTTTTTTTCTTTTTTTAATTTAATCTTCAGAAACACCCTACGGGGAAGATTCCTGGGAGGCACATTCACTGTTGAATCTGATGGCCTGGTGGAAGAGATGCCAATAAGTTTGGGATTTGCTGTGGGTCCATTTGGGAAACCCTTGTGGGATTCGGGGACTGAGTCACACAGTCACCATGGGCTCCGAGCAGAGCTGCGTCATCTCAGAACGTCCCTTACCTCAGGAAAGAGGTCCCACAACTGGGTGACTTAGGGGTTCCCCATGTAAGGCAGCAACAAGGCTTATTTGGGGTTTCCTGCCAGAGGCTCAAGAGCCTCGTCCTAACTCCTGAATTCTGGAATGTCAGCACAGGAAGGAACTTCAGACCATCCAGCCCAACCCCCTTTACAGATGGGAGACTGAAGCCAAGACATGACAGGGGCCTTGTCTATGGTCACAGGACCAGTTAGTGACAGAATTGGAGCCAGAGTCCATGTCTGAATCGAGGCAGTCTCCTTCCTTCCCCAGTGTTGGATGCTGTCTCCACAGAAGAGCCGGGTGCGTCATAGGTGCTCAATAAAAGCTCCTCAAACAGAACCACAGGTCAGAGAGCCAGCATTTCTTTTTTCATCAGTTTCCCACAGGTTCACAATGCACCTCACATGCAGACACTAAAGCTCGCTGGTGATTGGAAAACTTCTCCCAAACGTACACCCTATCACTCCATAGCAAGATTCCACATCAGGACATAGAGAGCTGCTCCAGTTTCTTTACAGATGAAAAATAATCTATGGAAATATCAAATTTTATTTTACAGTCTTCTGTTGATGGATATGTAAGTTATTCCCACCTTAGCCACTAAAACAATCATGCAGTGGATGACCTTGTACATGTGTCACCCTACTCAGGCGGGAGACACCCACTGGAAGTGGCATTCTTAGGTCAGAGGATAGTGTGTTTTCATATTTGAGAATATTGCCCAATTTCCCTCCTAGATGACATAGCAATCAGAGATTACAGACATAGGCCACCGTGCCTGGCTAATTTTGTATTTTGTAGAGATAGGGTTTCTCCATGTTTTTCAGGCTGGTCTCGAACTCCCGACCTCAGGTGATCCGCCCACCTCAGCCTCCCAAAGTGCTGGGATTACAGGCATCAGCCACCATGTTCGCCCTACTTCAGACATTTCTAAGACAGTGGTTTTAACATATGACTCTGGTATCAGGGTGGACACAATGTATAAGAAATGTCCTTACAAGAAAGAGGAAGGAGATTAATTATTGCAGAAGGACTTGTGAGGATGCAAGCAAGAGGTTAGAGTGATGGGAAGATGTAACTGTGAGAAAGGAATGTGGGCAGCCTCTGGAATTTGGAAAGGCAAAAAACAGAACCTCCAGAAGACACATAGCTTTACTAACAGTTTTTTAAAAAACGTGTATATGTAAAGCATAAAACATGATGTTTTCATGTACATGTATGTGCATTGCCTAGTAATGTCTGAAATCAGCTCCTCGTATCCCTTCAACTTAGACATGGAAGGTGACTTTATCCTGATTGTGCAGATAATATTGGCAAAGACACTGAAGTTTCCAGGTGGTGCCTCCCCAGCCCAGGCAGTCACAGCCAGTGGTGGCTCAGGTGGTGCCTCCCCAGCCCAGGCAGTCACAGCCAGTGGTGGCTCAGGTGTGACTCAGATCTGCTAACTCCTAGTAAAGTGCTCACTCCTCTTTGCTATGCTCTCAGTCTAAATGATGAGTTAGATGAGAAAGGAGGGAGGCGGGGAAGGGGGCCAGAGAGCAGTGGCTGTGCCAGAGTTTCCTTGTAACCAGTGCTATGAGGGAGGAGCCATTTGCTACCTCCTTTAAAGATGAGGACACTGAGGATCAGAGAGGAGACCTGACTTGGGACCAGGTCAGTGAGGCAAGGCTGGAACCCTCAGTCTGACTCACAGCCCTTGTCTCTGCAACACTCAGCTGTGGTTTTTCAAGTGTGGAGAAATGCTCCAACCTTCTCTTTCTAAACTCTTGCATTGTTCAGTTCTACAGCACAAAGTATTAAAAACAAACCAATAACCCTGTAGGGGTAGGAGGGGTTGGTTTTACACTCCCATCAGAAAGGTCCTGCATGTGTCCCATCATATGCCAAGCTGGTCCTAAAGCACAGGTCTCAGCACACATGAAGCATTTAGGACTCTCCCCTCAGGTTATGCTGTTTCTCCTTCACTCAGCAGCATCCATTGAACAGAGTAGAGCCTCCTGAAGCCCAGCAGAGCATATATCTGTCCGCTCATGGCGCTGAGGACTAAGGATGAGATGAGGCATTTCCTAGAGAGTGTTTGGGGACCATGTGAGCAAGAGTTTAGATTCTCCCCTCTGGCTGTCAGGAGCCCACTGTCTTTTGTTTATGGCTGCAACGAAAGCAGGCCTGGGCAGCCAGAAAGGAGGCTTCTCCCTAACATTACATGACGTCTAGAATCTCAAGGGGACAATTGAGGTGGCTGTCAGTGTTGGGGCTCAAGAACCTAAAACACTTGCTCTGTTAATGGACATAACTGCTTGGTGGGACACAGGAAATGCCCACTGGGACACATGGAGGACGAGGAGACAGTGCCTTCATTTTGTTCAGCCTCAGTTTCCTCATCTGTAGAATGGAGACAATCAAGGACTCCTTTAGGAAAGTGGAAAGTGTTTAAGGTTCTCTCTGTAAATCACCTAGCACACTGTAGGCACCCCCAAAGTGAGGTGTTATTTCAAGATCATGTGATCTTGAGCCAGTCTTGCCTTCCCTTGAGTCCTTGGGTTCCCCATCGGTGCGATGCTGATTATCATGGCCCCGTTCCGGGTTCTGTGAGGATTGCAGAGGATGTGCACAGAGCCCCAGTGGTGGTGGTGTTCAGGTTATTACTGAGCTTCTGCAGAACGATGGTTAGGAGAGCACGGGCAGTATCCCAGCTGCCTGGGCCTCTTCCCGGCTCTGACTCTTCCTGGCTCTGCCACCTGGGACAAGGCACTTTGCCACCATAGGCCTCGATGTCCTCACCCTTTGATGGTAACGCTGACCTCACAGACTGGGCAGAGTCTGAAGGAGTGAAATCGTGTAAAATGCTTAGGGCATCAACGAGCACACAGTAAATGCTCAATAAATGTGAGCTTGTTAGGGTGAAGCTGTGTGACCTCAGACAGGTCAGGGCATCACTAGGCCCCAAGTATAAACGGGTTTGGGTTGGGGTCCAGTGGCTTTCAACCTTGGCTGCTCATTACAATCACTGGGAAAACTATCAAAAAAAAAGTTAACAAAGCTGGACCCAGGATCCTCCTAAAAATGCCAGTTTAATTGGTCTAACGTGGGCCTGGCATCTAAAGTTCTGAATGGCTCCAGAAGATTCTCACACACAGCCCCCTAGCAAAAGCGGTGCCCCAGGCTTTGGGGCTTTGAGAACAGCTTTTTGGGCCATGGGTGCTTCAAAACAGACATGCTGGGAACATTCTGGGAGGCCCCAGAAGCCTGGACAGGACCCCTCCCGTGCTACTGGCCTCAGGGCCCAAGATAGGAGACTGGGACAAAGCCTCGCTCAGATGCAGCCTCAGTGCTGGGGAACCTTCTGTCTTGAAAACGTTTGTATCTAAGCAGGTGCTGGAGGCCCAGCAAATCCTCACTCCTCGGCCCCGGAAGCCTCCCTCCCTCAGCACTCCCAGATGTCACTGAGGTATCTTTTCCCTCCTTCTTCCAAAATGCTTCCAGCTTCACCTGTGATCTTACTTGAAAGCCAGTTCACCAAACATGGTGGTTGCTGCTCCTTTTATCATTTGGGTTTTTCTGGCAGCTGCAGTGAGTAGGGTTTGAGCCTTTCGTTGGTATTTCTGCTCCTCTTTGTTCTGTTGCGTAAAGAATAGCTATGCAGCTCCAGTAGCAGTAATCACCAAACCTCATGATTACAGTCACAGGGGTTATTTATTAAGCACCTACTACATGCCAGGCTATGCACTTGCTTTTACCCTCGCTCATCTTCCCAGGGTGTGGTTTCTATCTACTTTTGGTCCTTGGCCAGCAAGGATCCTCTCAGAGTCTCGCCGTACACAAGGGCTCACATGAGGACCCCCTCTAAGAAATGGAGGGAGGATTAAAGTGCTGAGAGGTACAGAGAGAGCAGCCAGCGTCAGGTGGCCAAGAAGCCCTCAATAAATGGTAACTGAAGACAGCCTCTCAGCCCTCAAGGGACACCCATTTGCTGGTATCTCAAAGACTTGACATCTTCAAGTGACACCCTCCTTACTGTGCTCTCAAAATATTTCATGCAGGCCGGGCGCGGTGGCTCAAGCCTGTAATCCCAGCACTTTGGGAGGCTGAGACGGGCGGATCACGAGGTCAGGAGATCGAGACCATCCTGGCTGACACGGTGAAACCCCGTCTCTACTTTAAAAATACAAAAAACTAGCCGGGCGAGGTAGCGGCGCCTGTAGTCCCAGCTACTCGGGAGGCTGAGGCAGGAGAATGGCGTGAACCCGGGAGGCGGAGCTTGCAGTGAGCTGAGATCCGGCCACTGCACTCCAGCCTGGGCGGCAGAGCGAGACTCCGTCTCAAAAAAAAAAAAAAAAAAAAAAAAATTTCATGCGTATTAGGGAGCAAGATAATATTGGCAAAGGCAAACATGTGTAATATGTGCTTTCTAAGACGATGGCAGAAGGTTCAAGGTAACAATTAGCAATTTGCAGACACCCTTAAAACTCATCTACAGGGAGAAACCGCCTCATTGATCTGATTCTCCAGTGTGTTTGCTTTCAGGGCCCAGAATTGGTTTCTGCCTGTTGGTGTGGCCTGGGTCTTTGTCCCTTGTAATTAATTAACAATGAAAAAATTACCCCCCTTTGGCTTTCTTAGAACTCAGCGATTCTTGTTTTTGACCCAAACCTGACCTAACTGAAGATCCGTATGCCAAAAACAAATTTCCTATTTTCAAATGTAGGACTTGCAGCAGGTTAGAGCTACTAACAACAACAACAACAACAATGATGGTTAGGAAGGCCAAAGGAAAGAGCATTTATTGGAAAAATAAAGAGGTGCAATTTGGGTACAGTGAGTCAGCAAAACCCTGAATAGTGTCCGGTATGGAAACGCAGGAAAGATTTTTTTATAGGTGCCTTTCAAAAATATTGTTTTCGGGAACAGTTCATTAGCTGGTCAAAAATCCTAAACTGCAAACCTGTTCTCATTGGCTATTTAATTAAATTACTCCAGGTGAGAGAGATCAAAATCCCACGGACGCTGGCTTCAGTTAGTTGTTATCCAGGTCTACGGCAACATACTGTGGCTTGACCTTTAGCAGGTGTCATTCCAATGCTCTTACAAACTGTGGGTTCTACGTTAAAGCTTTATCCTTAATTAATGCCTTTTATTTGACAGAATGAAATATTTGTGAAAAGAATAAAAATATGGAAGGATTCATATTTGTATAACACCCAAAGAGAGACCTCTGTGTATCTGTAAATTCTGGGTTAAAGATAGATCTGTGTTTAATTTTGAGAAGCATCTTCTGTGTTTGATCCAGAGCAGAACTGCTTCCATCACCCCATTTAATCCTGGCGACATTCCAGGAAGTAGAAATGCCGTCCTCCTATTTTGCAGATGAGGAACTGGGTTTGTCAGGCCACCCCTCTCCTGGGCTAAGCAGCCTGGCTGCAGCTCTCATGGTGGTGCCACTTTGCCACTGTTCCTGACATTGGCTTCTATAAACGCCCTCTCTGAGGTTGGTGAGCTCTCCAGTGGAGGCCAGCTAGGACCAGTTATTAACAAGGAGGGAGACCAGTCAGTAATTTTGTTCCTATACCAAGATTGGTGGAAGTCACCCTGTGTGGAGAGGACTTTGAACTCAGGCCTGGACTTCCCTCTGGGACCTGCCCCTACTCACTGTCTGACCATGGGCTGGTTCTCACCTCTCAGAGCTGTTGTGGCCTGAGCTGTAAAATGAGAAAAGGAGACTGCCCTCCCAACATTATTAGAGAGATTAAAAACGAACGTCTCAGAAGGTTCTTAACGTGTCACACGCTTATTGTTAGTGATGGTCATCTCAGTAATGTCTCCTGATTATCGATGCTCCTTTTGCAGCCAAACCCTCTGCCCCCGTGGTATCGGGCCCCGCAGTGAGGGCCACAGCTGAGCACACAGTGAGCTTCACCTGCGAGTCCCACGGCTTCTCTCCCAAAGACATCACCCTGAAATGGTTCAAAAATGGGAACGAGCTCTCAGACTTCCAGACCAGCGTGGACCCCGCAGGAAAGAGCGTGTCCTACAGCATCCGCAGCACAGCCAGGGTGGTGCTGACCCGCAGAGACGTTCACTCTGAAGTCATCTGCGAGGTGGCCCACGTCACCTTGCAGGGGGACCCTCTTCGTGGGACTGCCAACTTGTCTGAGGCCATCCGAGGTAGAAGACCCTCAAACCCAGCCTAAGCCCACTTCTGGCTGCTAAGTCCACTCCCCTCTCCACAGGCTACTGCTCTAGATCTTGAATAGCCTGGAATCTAATCCCTGACGATGCTGCCCACCTGCCATGCACCTAGGTGTGCCGGTCACTTACTATCATTTTAATGGCAGCTGTGAGGGAGCCAGCAACCATGTGCCAAGCTCTGTGCTAGAGAGTTCCATTTATTTCACCAAGAACAACTACAATTAGTGAGCACCTACTGGGAGCCAAATCCCTATGTGCTTGGCGATTTCACTGATTTTGCTACAGTTCTTACATTCCAACTGTATGCCAGGGGTGGTGCTTGTAGATATCACTCATTCTTAGCCTAGTAGGAGCTATCAGTCCTTCAGCACCTACTGTGTGCCAGGCACTGTGCTTAGTAATTTCACTCATATGCAAAGAGCACCCTCAATGTCTGAGCACATGCTGCCTGCCTAGCACTGTCCTGGTGATGCCCTCACTGTGGTGGTGGGAGCTACATTATGGAGCCCTCCCTGTGATCTGTCTGTGCCACAAGGTCAGAGCTTCTGCCCTGTGCTGTTTCAGTTCCACCCTTCTTGGAGGTTACTCAACAGTCCATGAGGGCAGAGAACCAGGCGAACATCACCTGCCAGGTGAGCAACTTCTACCCCCAGAGACTCCTGCTGACCTGGTTGGAGAATGGAAATGTGTCTCAGACAGAAACAGCTTCGACCCTCACAGAGAACAAGGATGGTACCTACAACTGGACGAGCTGGCTCCTGGTGAACACCTGTGCCCACAGGGACGATGTGGTGCTCACCTGCCAGGTGGAGCATGATGGACAGCCAGCGGTCAGCAAAAGCCATACCCTGGAGATCTCAGCGCACCAGAAGGAGCAGGACTCAGATGTCACCCATGGTGTGGTTACTTCCCATTTTTAAATTTTGTCTTTTTCTTTAATGTTAAAAGTAGTATTCATGCTTGTCATAAAATAAGCTAGAAGTCTATAAATATAAAGTAAAATTTTAATGTCAGCTCCATGACCCCAAATTCTACACTCCACGGGTCACTACTACTTAGAAAGTTCAAGGTGACAATTGGCAACTTGAAGACACCCTTAAAACCCATCTACAAGAGAAACTGTGCATCAAGAGTTTGATGCACACCTTGATCAATCTTTTGGCGTAAATATACATTAAAGGAAAAAGGAGAGACGGAGGCGATGCATTTGTCTATGAAGTCCTGTGTTTCACCTTCTTCTGCATGTCTCATCAGTGCCCCACCTTCCCCTTTACACTTTCTAACCACTACCTTGTCTCTGTTCTATTCTAAACTTTTCCATCTGCATCTGTGACCTCACCCAGCAGTCTCCGGCATCTGCTGTATAAATTTCAGAAAGACAAGTGAAGTTGAAACCTGGAGGAGGCCCCCAGGTGACCTGGTCACAGCACAGGCCTCTTCTGTGTTCCGATGGTGATATTTGACCAACAATAATCCCAGTCACTCTGCGCATGGACCATGTGCAAATTCCTGTTCATCTCTGATCTCCTTTCCTGCTTCAAACACCCAGTGACTTTGGAGTATTACCAAAGGGGAAACCAGGACTCAGGAAGTGATGAGGGATGATGTTGAAGACTTCTGGCCATTACATCAGGTTATTGGTCCAAACTAATGATGGTAAATCTGGTCCCTGAGGACAGGCTCACTACCAGGCTATATTGGGAATTTGTGCTAATTAGAGAAACTCTCCCCTTCTGCTGGGCTTTGTCCCAAGGATTTGAATTTGGCCAGTGTTTACCCTTTCTATAACCAAAAAATGTCTTGTTTCCCTCTCATATAATACCAGGAGGGGGACCCTCTCCTCTAGTCGAATGACAATCTTTGAGTGCTTTGACCCAAATGTCTCCTCCCACATCTCAGGGTCCCACAGCTTCCCCAACAGGGCCCTATCCCAGCATAGAAGCCATTGAAGCTGAGATTCATCTTCCTTTGTGATTCTGCTACTCTTCCAATGATGGCCGGGGCCCAACCTTCTATTCTTTCTGCCCTGAGGCACCAGAAAATAAGAATAAGGACTCAGGTTCCTTCCAAAACAGTATGATGTTTGCATCATCTCCTGGTCAGTGCTGAGTCACTGATTTGTTCATGTCCCTGCCTGCTGGAAGAGTAAAGACAGGACATAGAGGAGAAAAAATGTCTCCCATCATCAGAGATGTGTGGAAGGTGCATAGTGACATCCGCTGAAAACTTGCTCACACATGCACCTGCAGTTGCACCTTGAGTGATCATGTGATCAAGGATATTTTTCACAAAACCAATGTCATTGTCCACTGACATTTTAAACATTCAAATAACTAAATTTCATTAAATTATTAAAATAATTTCCTCATATCATCTAAAATGGAGTATACATTCAAATTTTACCAAAACTTTTCAGCTCCATTAACCTGTGTATCAAATTTGGTTTTAATTTATCTTTAAATGCTTATGTTTTCCTATGAAAGATCTGGGCCTCAGGAATATTTTTGGGTATTTTAAAATCATAGATTCAATTTCCTTAATAGTTTTGGGTTATTCACACTTTTCATTTCCTATTGAGTGAGTCCTGCTAAGTTGTGCTTTGCATAATTTTTGGTCCATTTTATCTAAGTTGTCACATTTATGTGTGTAGAGTTGTTCACAATATCCTCTTATAACTCAATGGTATCTGCAGGTTCTGCAATGGTATCCCACGTTTCATCCTAATACTGAAAATGTGCCATTTCTCTTTTCTTTTTTTTCAGTCATGCTAGAGGTTTTTCCCATTTTATTGGTGTTTTCGAAAGATTGACTCTATTTCAGTGGGTTTTTGTATTGTTTTTGTGTTTTCAGTTTCATTATCTGTTCTGCTCTCTCTTTTTTTCTTTTTTTTTTTATTAATTCCTATCACTCCTGCTTGCTTTAGGTTTACTTTGCCCTACTTTTTGTAGTTTCTTAAAGTGGGAGCTTATGTTTATTGACTTGAGACTTCCTCTTTTCTGTGTCCTCCCTTCATCACTTTCCACGGCTGGGGGCTGGTATTTGGGGGTTGGCTCCCTGGTGTCTGACTGCTGGGCTGTTCCTCAGTCCTCAGGTTCTTAACCTTGCTCTTCCACCTTGGAAGTTCTCCTATGCCTGCTCCTCATGATATTTCTTGGGTTCATAGTTGTACTTTTTAAGGTAGCACAGGATGAGATGATTCTGTACCATCTGGACAAGGTTGAGTTTTTCCTTAGACTTCCAACCACCCACTGGCGCTCAGACCAGGGCTGCCATTTTAGGGTGCTTTCAGTGTGTCTGACATAGCATCCTGGCTCATATAGTGAGTCTGGAAATGCATTTTAGGTTGTCTAGGCTGGCAGGCAAACTGCCTGATGCCTTCTGTGACGTGCTGCATCAGTGGCGTGGGAGCCTAGTGAGAGACTGTGCACTAGGGTTACGTGAGTGTTCCCTTTTGACTCACAGTCACTTTGCAGTTTGGCCTTCTCTCTTCAAGTAATATTTACAGCCTGGATTGTGTAGAATTTACTTTTCCTTTGTTGTTTCTTCTTTTGGCTTGGGGAGGATATTTATAGAGACAAGTAGCTGTGCTACTGCAACTGTCCCCAGCAACTCCGAAGTTAACTGACAATCTTTGATTGCTTTGACCCAAATGTCTCCTCCCACATCTCAGGGTCCCACAACTTCCCCATCAGGGCCCTACCCCAGCATAGCAGCCATTGAAACTGAGATTCATCCTCCACTGTGATTCTGCTACTCTTCTATGATGCCCAGGACCCGATCCTCTATTCCTTCTGCCCTGTGGCTCCAAAAAATAAGAATCTACAGTGCTGCCAAGTAGTCCTCTGGCTTCAGCACTGAACCTTAACTGATGATGAATCACTCTTAGTATCTCATTGTCTTTCTTCCAAGGATTCATGCCCAGCAACAGCTGACACCTTAGTTCTTATAAGGACCATTTCCCAATCTGTTTTCAAAAGGCTGAGGGCAAGGAATTTCCTTCCTGGGGTTACACCATCCCAGTTTACTGCCAGTGAAAGTGTTATCAATTGCAACACAAAAGCAAGTTAGGGCTTGTCCAGCCCCACTCACCACCAGCCCTGGGATCCTCCTTGCCAGATGATGAGTAATCAGATTCCAAACTTACATTTTAGAGTCTGCTTTCCAGACCACTTCCCAAGGTCAGTTTCTCTGGGAGGCCAGCTGGGGATGGATAAAGGAATGCAGGAAGCATCCTAGAGTGCTGTCGGAGTCAACATGCCTCAGGGAATGAGGAGGCAGGAGTGTAGGAGGAGGGAGGTGCTGAGCCACAGTGCAGGCAGGACAAACACAGAGCTGCTCCTGCAGAGAGGCCAAAGGCTGGAGGGTCCTGTAGAGTTGTTTTACATTGAGGGGAGGAGATAGCCCTTCATATTCCCAATACAGTCTATCTCTCACATGGGCTCCCCCCTAGAAGGAGTAAATTTGGGCAATGCAGCTCTCCTCAAGGGAGAGAAAGCCCCAGAGAGCCACCCAGCTAACTGCCGGCCTGCAACACCCCAGCGGCCACAGATGCTGAGGTCTCCCTTCCTTCCTTAAGGACCCACCAGCACCATTTAATTTATAAAAAAAGAGAAAAAAATAATACCTTTGTTACTTTTAACAGCCAAAACCCCTTATTTAAAAAATGCAGAGTCCAAACATGTGCTTCCTTAGATCTGACTCTCTGTGTCCAACAGAGAAATTTCGGATGACATCTGCACTAGGGTTGAGGTGGGATAGATGATGTCTGAGGCCCTCCCAAGCATGAGGCCCTTTCCCTGACTCACCAGGGTCTTTTCCAGCCAACAGGTTTCATTAGTTCTTGTCCCTGGAGGGCTCCCTGAGATCATGAGAATATGGGGTCATCCAAATACTCCTGGGGCTAAGAAGGGCAGCACGCAGCTCTCTCACTCTGAATCCATCCTCACACCACCTGCCCACCCTTTCCTAATCATTCTTATGACCCTGGGGTGTTGGACTTGTTTTGGACCCAGGAGTCACCCTTGGGGACATAATGATGGGCTCCCCTAGATTTGGATCCCACTAATCTCCGGGCACTCCCTAAACTCTCTGGCCTCAGTTTCCCATCAGAATGGAATAATAATCCCTGCCTCACAGGCTTGTGAGGATCAAGTGAGGAATCCAGTTGCCGTATGTATGAACACCTGAGTACACACTCTCTCCACCTTTTCCCTCCAGGAGGATAAGCTGACAGCCTGGGACAGGGTGAGTGAAAATGAGGAGCCACTTTCCCTGGCCTTTGCTTTCGGCTGGAGTCAGGGAAGCCAGAGCAGGATGGAAGTTCAAAAGACTCAGAGCACTGATGGGCCCAGGTAGCCTCAGATGGGGTAAGTGGAGGCCCTTGAGATGAGCTCCCAGGTGGCTCCTCTCATGGCTCCTCCTCTTCCCTGATTTCCAGGCCTGGCACTGGCTCCTACTGCTCCACTCCTCGTAGCTCTCCTCCTGGGCCCCAAGGTGCTACTGGTGGTTGGTGTCTCTGCCGTCTACATTTGCTGGAAACAGAAGGCCTGACTGTAAGTGTGGGAGAGGGAGGACTGACCAAGGGCTGCCGAGAAGGGCAAGACCAGCAGGAGGGCCCAGCTCACTTGCCATGCAGCTTCAGGGTCAGTGAAGTTTACAGAAGGTGACAGGGCTCCTTTATGACACCTAAGAGTTTCAGGGAACCCTGTGTGGGACTCCCAACCCACAGGAGGTGTGCAGGAGTTGGGATGCTTCAAGGGGGTTCAAAGGTGTCCCCAGTGCCCTTGCAGTCTCATGGAAAAGGTGGACAGAGGGATCTAAGTGAGGGCCAACTGAGTGGGTGGTCCCTTCCAGGCCACTGCTAGGACTCCATGGGGCTAAAGGAATCCCCACTTGTAGAGTAATGTTGAGAATCCCCAGATGGGCTGCTCTGAGGGCTACTCCTGCTCTGATCCTCTGTGTGTCTGAGTGGAAGGGAGGGAGGAGGGGGCATCAGGACTTGGAAGGAGGGCTGAGCTGGCAGAGTCCTACCTGAGGCCTGCCTGTCCCCCCAGAACAGACATCCCAAGAGACCAGCCCCAGAAACATAACAGACTCTCAAGAAGCATTTCTTGAATGATGAGCAGATGAATAAATGTGGATGTGTTTTCCTACAGCTCCTTTGCTCCTCCCCTGCCATGTGGGACCCTCAGTCTCTGCTGCCTCCTTTCTTTCTTGAGAGGCTCAACATGAGAGAAGGAGCCAGCGAGAAGTTTCTCCAGACTCAGCTCCAAACGCCTCCTCTCCCATGACATCTGCCTGCCCACAGGCTCCTGTTGCTCCTTCACAAGACGTTGATGCCCCAGAGCAGTGTCTCCATTCATGGTCCTGAGCAGGGGCCACGGGATTGGGCTCTGGGCACTGACTCACGGCACCTCCCTAGAAGGTGATAAACACGCCAAATCTAAACACACCAGGACTCCTCCCATCTATCGCCTTGGGAGTGACCATAAACCACAGACGCTCTCCAGGCTCTCAAGAGTTATCCCATCTTCTGGATTCCTGCCCCCTCCAACTCCCCCAGCCTTGTTGAGGTTCTCTATTGCCTCCTGAATACACATGAACCCCTATACCGATTTTAAGAAAAAAATGATTCTCTTTCCTCTTTGTCCAAGCATGCTATCCCTCAAACCCAAAAAGAAAGCAGCTCTACCTTCTCTCTCTGAGATGGGAACAGTATTTCTTCTAGCATCCTGCAGCCTTCCCAGTCCTGCTGCTCATGGTAGAAACGCTGCCACACTCCAACATCGAGGAGCCCTCCTTGACTTCCCTTTACAACTCGTATTCAATTCTGCCTACAAAATGCCTATGTCCACTTACATGCGATGGTAAATGTTTAACAGTGGACTTTCTGAAAGGGAAAAACCAAAAGCTGTTTTGTAGTGCTTGCCAATTTCTCTAGTGTAATAACTCCCAACCTGACCAATTTCACACTGTCAACACTTAAACAACCAGATTGCAAAATTCCTGAAATTTAACAATTGGTTTTCAAGGGCCAGTCCAAACCTGCTGCAGGACACCTCTGAGTTACATCCATATCTGCACACTTCTCACTTCCACCACCACTCCCTGTCCCAACCAGCATCATCTCTTTTGGGACCACTCCTCTGGCTTTCATTTTTCAGCCACAGCAATTCTTTGGAAAAGTCAAATCATATCACTTCTCTGCTTCTTCCCCAACACAGTCGCATGGCTCCCACTCTCCCTCCTTCCAGTCTCTGCTCAATGTCACTTTATTAAAGGCACCTTCTATAAACTACCCTGTAGAAAATGTTATTTCTTTTCTCTGTCCCAGCATTCTCATTTCTCTTATCCTAATTAATTTTTTTTAGCCCTTATTTACATAAGTATTATGCTGAATACAGGCAGCTCTTACTTTTCATGGCGGTGCAGGATTGCAAAAATGACTGTGCAACCTGAAACCTAGGAAAGCATTCTCCATATCCAATTAGAAAAACAATTATCAGTTTGTGACCTTTACCATTTTTTGTCAAAATATTAGAAACTCTAACACTCTCAGTTACAAATGTAGAGGACAATGAAAATATAATGAAATAAATATTTATTTGTGCACTGCAATTCAAAGCATTAGAAACATTGAGAGTTCAAGTGTTATTTCTTTGTAAAAATGTATCAAGAGTAGTTGGAAGAGTGCTTGCCTTTTTCTTGTATATTTCTGATATGGAGTGATATGGTTTGCCTCTGTGTCTCCATCCAAATCTCATCTCAAATTGTAATCTGCATGTGTTGTGGGATGGGAGGTGACTGAATCATGGGGGCGGACTTCCCCCTTGCTGTTCTTGTGACAGTGAGTTCTTGTAAGATCTCAGTGAGTTCTCATGAGATCTGGTTTTTTGAAAGTGTGTGGCATTTCCCCCTTCGCTCTCTCTCTCTCTCTCTTCTGCCACCATGTAAAGAAGGTCCCTGCTTCCTTTTCTCCTTCCAAAATGATTGTAAGTTTCCTGAGGCCTCCCAGTCATGCTTCCTGTTAAGCCTGTGGAACTGTGAGTCAATTAAACCTCTTTTCTTCATAAATTATCCAGTCTCTGGTAGTTCTTTATAGCAGTGTGAGAGTAGGCTAACACATGGAGCAAGCATCATTTCTTTTTATTTATTTATTTATTTATTTATTTATTTATTTATTTATTTTGAGATGGTGTTTCATTCTTATTGCCCGGGCTGGAGTGCAATGTCGTGATCTTGGCTCACTGCAACCCCCACCTCCCTGGTTCCTGAGATTCTCCTGCCTCAGCCTCCTGAGTAGCTAGGATTGCAGGCATGCATCACCACACCCAGCTAATTTTGTATTTTTAATAGAGACGGGGTTTCTCCATGTTGGTCAGGCTAGTCTCAAACTCCTGACCTCAGGTGATCCACCTGCCTTGGCCTCCCAAAGTGCTGGGATTACAGGCATGAGCCACCATGCCCAACCAGGAAGCATCATTTCTATTATACCTTCGTGTTTTTCCATCTTCCTAAGTTTGGACTAGCTTCCAACATGTTATCACTTGCATTTTCAGTATTGTGAAATCACTCCAGAAGGTCCTTTCATGTGAAGATTTTTGCTGGTATTTCAACCTTTGGGACATCTTCAGCCCTTTTATTACGACTCCTCTCCCATTTGTGGGAGTTTGTCTTTACTACCTCCCTCTGGCTGCCTATCTGAAGTTCCTGCGTCAGGGTCTACATTGCCATGGTCAACTATTTGTACTTCTAGAATTCCACTCACATTCAATTTGAACCTCACTTGCAGCATTTTCACTTCTCATTTCTTCACTGTAATGTCATCTTGGTTGCAAAATTCCTCTTTCAATTATTCATTTCTGTAAAATGTCATATGGGCTCATCACTGGGAGACAAGGAGGCAATCCAACTATAGGCTTTGTTGTATAAGTAGGAGATTCATAAGGACCAATCACCAACAGACTTTGAAAGACGCAACATGACTGGTTACTGATCATGACGAGCTTTTGTTATTTCCATGGTGATTTGGGGACTGAAGAGCTAGCCCAGAAATTTGCAGTCTATGCAAATTACAGTAAATTTACTACGGCACCTAAATTTCGAGACTTGTGTTGTGGGACTGATGTTACTTAACTAAACTATGGTAAGTAAAATGCATGCATGTCAGCACCAAAGTGAGAACTGCCTGTATTTGTCTATCTTACACAAATAGAATGTCAGTTCTATCATGGCGGGTTGGGGGTGGGGGAGGATTATCTGTATCCTCAGTTGCCAGAACTGTGTCTGCCATATAATAGGCTGTCAATTTTTAAAAATGAGTGAATACATCATTGAGGCCATTAGTTTCTACTAGGTGTTGGATTTCAGAAGAAAACTTCTCCTCATTTGATCACTTGGCTTGTGTGCTGTATTCTCAAGCTATTTCTTTAAAGACTACTCTCTCTTCTTTCTGTTTAAAACATTCCATCAAAAATTAAACATCCTCTAGAAAGTAAGAAAGTGCTAAAAAGAAAACAAAGTCAACCCCAAAACCAAAACCCACAATGACTGGAGTATATCAAAGGGGCACAGGAACCAACTGAAAGAGCTCCCAAAGGACAAAACTGGAACACTGTCAGCAAAAAAAAATAAGTAAAGTAGTAATGAGTTATAATCTAAAGTATAAAATAAATATCTGAGTCCATACTGATATAAATAAATGATTGAATAAATTAATGGGGAAGAAGAGAAGAATCTCCAGTGCAGAAAAGTCCCAGATAATTTATTTATACACTCCACCCTAAAGGAGGTGGAACATAACTTCCACTCCTGAAGTGTGGGCTGTGCATTGTGACTTCTTTGCAAAGAGTACAGCATGAACAAAAGGAGAAAAAATAACTTTCCAGTGGAAAAACCTGACAAATACAGCTTCAGCCAGGTGATCAAGAGTTCATCAACAGTTATAAATCAACATTAACAATCATAAATCATGTCACTAATATGTACCTTTAATAAGATGTGATGAAGATGACACTTTTCAACTGTTACCTTCCCCCCAAAACTCACAACCCCAGTCTAATCATGAGGAAAACACCAGACAAATTTCAATAAGGAGGTATCCTGCAATATCGGGCCCAGAACTCCTCAAAATGGTCAAGGTCATCAAAATCAAGGAAAGTCTAAAAAACTATCATAGCCAAGAGAAGCCTGAGGAGATATGACAAGTAAATGTAACAGGTATCCTGGATGGGATGCTGGAACAGAAAAAGGACATTAGGTAAAAAGAAAAGATCTAAATAAACTATGAACTTTGATTAATCATAATGTATCAATATTGGTTCATTGATTACAATAATTTATCATACTAATGTTAGATGCTAATGATAGGGCTCAATTTTTCTGTAAATCTAAAACTGTCCTTAACAAATTAAGTCTATTAAAAAAATTAACATCTTGTCCTCAGCTAGGTTTTATTTGCCTCTTGCACCCCGTGGGGAGCAATGCAAAGAAATGTGTGGTAGGGAGACTTTGTAAATATTCCAAAGTTTTATCTCACTTCACAAGCCTGAGGTTTCCTTTCCTCTCGTCCTTCCTCTGTCCCCTACCAGAGCTCACCCCAGACCTAGGCACTCAGATCCCAGAGGAAGTGGCTTCTCAGACCCCCATGATGCTCACCCTAAACTTTTCCCATTAATAAAACCCAGGTCAGACCAAGTGAGATCAGAAAACTTTGGGTTATGTGGGTGAGCTGGGATAGCTCTGAGGACCTGACTATGAGTGAGTGAATAATGTCCTGAGCCCAAGTCTTCACAGGAACAAGTTGTTCCCAAGAGGAGTGTAATGGATGCTGAGAGGCACCTGGCTGTGGAGATGGTCCTCAGCATCAGCCCTATTTGGGATTGTCTCAGCTGAAGGGAGTACCCTTGCTTAGGTCATATCTGGGAACAGACCACATCTCATCGGACTCATCAACCTAGTCGTATAAAGGCCCAGCTCCCTTATCCTAACTCAGAGCAACTCTGGAGGAACGTCTTAGTACCAGGCTCCATGCAAGGTCAGCTGAGGTCTTCATTGGGACTTCATTGCAGCCCAGCTTCTTTTTCTCCCCAATCCTGCTTCCCTCTTCTCCCATCCACAACTGTTGATCCTAAAAGGACTCCCTGAAAAAAAAACCTACTTGCTCATCTTCACCCCAGAGTCTGTCTCCCAGGAAAGCCAGCGTGGGACAGTGAGGTTGTGCTACATATCAGAAAGGTGGGGATCCCTTCATCTCTAAGGGAGCAAGTCAGTCATGGAAGAAGGCCTTGTTTATAGTACCTCCAGGTTAATGAGAATCCACAAACATGTTTATTCAAGAGCGGGACATAATTAAATCTATGTTGTAAAAAGACCAGTCTGCTGAAGAAGGAGAAGGAGATTATAGGGGGCAAATAAAAATGGGGATACTCTAGTGAGAAGGCAATTGTTTTTATTCAGGCAAGAGATTATGATAGAGATGGAGAAAGAGATTAATTCAGAAGGGATTTAGGAGGTAAATCCAATAGGGCCTGGCAGGGGCAAGATATGAGTGTATGAGTGTGAAACTATGCCCCCAAAGAGTTAAAGAAACCAATTACTAACAGAAATTCTTGAGTTTACAGGATAGCAGATAAGAAAAAAAAAAAAAAGAACTTGCTAAACTGCTGAAACTTCCTCCACTTGTAAGATAACAAAACTGACTAAAATCTGTTGGAACCAATATGGCCAACTGGATTTTGCTCAGAATGAGCTTACTGATGTCACAGCCTGAATTTCTACCACATATTTCATAATAATGCCCCAGGGTTTTGTACATGGAACCTGTGAAGAGGCATGGAGAGATAACCGTACATGCCCAAGGACTTTCCAGACCTCCCCTTTCCTTTCATAAATCATACTAATCCCAGAATCCACCCCCTAAACTTTTTCTAATAAAGCTACTGCCTTGAAGCTAACACATGGAGCTAGATTTGAGCTAGACTCCTGTCTTCCTGTTAGTCAATTTGCAATAAAAATCTTTTCGTTTCTCAAAAGCCTGGTGTCACAGCATTGGCTTCTAGCACATCAGGAAGCAACCCCCTTTTACTTGGTAGCAAGTGGATAAGTGAGGGTATAGAACATGAGTCCCTTCCTGGTTTGACAAACTGCATAGATGATGGTACCAAATACCAAACAGGCATGGTGTGGGAGAAGATAAGGTTTGTGAGTGCAGATCTGAAACTCAAACTTGAATATTTAAGGTATACAAAGGGGCCAGGCGCAGTGGCTCACACCCTCACACCTGTAATCCCAGCACTT